TTGATATTAACTCTTGGCTGTGTTTTCTTTGAAATTATAGCTTAAAAATACAACACAATACATCTTTATCGTCTCTTTTGTCTATTTTAATTATAATTTAGCCTTCATCCACAACAGATCTTGTAAGCAAAATAGATTAATGTTGCTCTGATAGTTTTATATTAAATAGCTCGCCCTCTCCATGTAGGCAAAATAAGCCTCCACACATTAAGTTAAAAGGAAGAGATTAACTAGGCATCTACTTCCTTTGTTAAAACAGTTTTTTGACAGATCAAGTATTATTCCATTGCCCTTGTTCAGCATAAATTGTGTGTATGTCTGTCTGTGAGAGCTGCACGTCAGAGCAGAGCTCATTAACGTTCATAACTGATCCAAGTATGGTCAATTATGGACCTTCTGATTCAAGGGTTATTTTATGGAGTAATAAATAAGCATATAAACTGTTCAGGATATTTTTTTTACTTATCCAAGTCACATAGCTAATATTTAGATATCAGAGAACAATTGAACTTGTTGAACAAATGCAGTATATGACACCTTTAAGAGCAATTCCAAGCTTTAACCATATAAAACTTAAAAAGCAATCCATATGAACAACTTCCAGTCCTATTTTTCATAACTTTCTCCACCATCTTCTATTGTTTAAGGACCTGGTGTCAAACTCAGTTCCTGGAGGGCCACAGCTCTGCACAGTTTAGTTCCAACCCTAATTAAACACACCTGATCTGAAAGGTAACCTACAGGTAAGTGTGTTGAAGCAGGGTTGGAACCAAACTGTGCAGAAACTGAGTTTGACACCACTGCTTTAATGTTTTTCTAACATTTTCCATTCATCCTAAGGTGTCAAACATTGTATCACTACTTCTATATTGACTCTCTTTCTGTGAGTGCTTAAAGAGTCGCTGCATTGTAATTTAGCACAACTGTCAACTGTAAACCCCGCCTACTTTCATTTGATTGACTATCTCATTAATTTTAACATTGACGAGTGCTGTTAGACGGCTGAGGCAGACCAGCCTACAACGCTTCATTCTAAATGTGTTGAAATCCTAACAATGAAACACCATGTAATGTGCAGCAGAGCCATTTCCAGATATGTCTATGTTGTTTACAGCTCTGATTCTAGCTAGTTTAATGATGTATCATCTAAATATATTAGCCATTAATATATCATGCCCCCAGCTATTCGAGGGTTGTCCCCCTGGGTTGGCCCATTGCATCCTTTCCCACATCTCACCTACTACACACACACACACACACACACACACACACACACACACACACACACACACACACACACACACACACACACACACACACATACACACACACACACACACACACACACACACACACAGGTCAGGTGTGCAGCTGCTGCTGAGTTAATGTTGAATTTCAGTAAGTGAGTAGGGGATTTTATGAACCTTAAATAAAGCGATTCTCTTTAATGTAGTTAATAAAGACTCGTTCATAAATTAGTTGCAGCAAAAATGCAGATTACCGATGTAATTGTTCATTAATCTGCTTTATTAGCGATTAAAATTACTCATGTAGTAACGTTAACTTGTTGCAAAGTGCACTGCAACTAACACGCCAAAGCCGTTTCCCATGCATTGTTTTATTTGTGACTTGGCATTATGTTAACTTAACATTAACAACCATAATTAGCATATTGTTTAGCTGTGTATTTGCTAATGAGCACTGTGCTCCGTCCAAACTAAACCCACTGTATTTTTTGTATAATCAACTTCTATTCTGTTCTTAAGTGACTTAATCAATTTAAGATTAAAATGTTAGCCTTTTTCAATTCCTTGTTTTTATTGTTGTGATTATTTTTATGATAGTTTTGCATTCTTTATGTAAAGCCCTTTGTACTGTGCTACAAATAAACTTGCATTGCGGTGTCATGCATTGGATAACATGACAGAGAAAATGGACATAAGATCCTTTTTCAGTGCAGCTAAACGCCAAGTACAAAAAGTTCACATGTTGGGCAATTTGGCTGTAAGTGCTTATGAAAATGGTAATGTCAAATTATCAATCACAGGCAAAGGAGAAAGAAAGGATTGAGGAACAGGCAGAGCAGGGTCAATCAGATGTTCAGTGTCAGGTAAGGGTGTTGTGCTTTTATTGAAGGTATAATGACAATTCTTTTAGGGGTGAACACATTTTTTTGTTTTGTTTTTGGAGTTGTGGCTGTTTAGCAGATGAACTTCACAGGCTCGCTGATTTACAACATGATCGGTCAATTTAACAAGTGTAGTGTTAACAAGTTAGTTAATATGTGGATGGAAAACATATTTTCCTGCATTTTTTCTGCTTCAGGAGTCAGTCTGTTGACTGTAAACAACACGACAAAACTTTGCTGTCATTGAACCCGAGTAAACTTTGAAAATAATCATTATGACGTAGTCTCCATGCTATAATAATAAAAATAATGATGAAACCATTTTTAACTGCAGGGACATATCTTTATTAGTACAAGTCAGCTGTATTATTTGTGTCCCATTCAAAAAAAACGCTCTAAATAAATTTTTTATTTTTTGCCCCCCCTACTGTTAAATTACATTTACGCCCATGAATAGTATGTAGTAGTTCCAGTAAAATGTAAACGCGCCTTTCAGACACTAGCGGAGTGTGGGGGATTACGAGACTGATCATGACATGAAGATGACGATAACTGATAGATGGAGATACAGCTGTGGGGAATAAAGGGTTAACGTTCATTTTCATAACTATACCACAGCATAGCCAACCTAGTGCTGTGTTTGTTCCTGTCGTTTTTCTGATGATTGATATAATTGTCTACCCTGCAGGATTTGTCAGCCGTTTGCTATTAAAGGAGCAGCAGAGACTATTATTTATGGGACTTTGTCAGACTTTGACAGGGACTTTGTCAGTATTTTTTAAAGTTCAAATGGACCAGTTTCTTCCTCCTCCGGATCATAATATGTAAATGTAATAAAAAGTTTTGCCTCATTTTGTGTAGTTTGCAAAATATCTGTGTAATTGTGTGTTGTAGGTTGTAATCACGTGACTTGTAATCACAAATCTATTATAGATCAGTGCTTGTACTGTATCTGTCAGATTAAATCTTCATGGGGCTATTCACATATCGCGTCCAAAACCACGCTGGAAACGCGACGAGTGCTTCTTCCTTTACAAATTTAAATGCGTTTCTGAACTTGCGATCCTCTGCCGTTTGTCTTTGCTATGGCCACTCTTACCCATTCCTCACAAGCGTGCCGTGTGGTCAATTTTCAAAATTGTTCAACTTTTACCACTGTGTGGATTAATAATGAATGTGTGTCGTTGTTATTACTTGTGGCTAGGGTTAAAAGTAAAGTAATATGCTGGTGTTTAACTGCATTGCTTTATTGCGTTCCTGCATTGGGCTCTCACACACTCTCTGCTACTTCTTAGTTGTGGTGGGAGTTTCTCTCTGTCTCTCGCTGAACCCAGCTGATTAATCACAACAGAGTGAGTGATCGAACCAATCACAGCAGATTAGCCTCACGCAAAGGAGGGGTTTAAGAACAAATGAATCACTGAACAAAGCATATGGGAGTCGTTGGAATAACTAAGTAAAAATAAATGCATATTATAAGACAACAAAAGGGTTTTTTGACCTTGAATATCAGCCTGTTGTTGGAGACACCCAAAACCCAAATAATTCAAAACAGGGGCTCTTAAAATGATCATAGATTGAATCTATTTTATGGGACAGTTTATTTACTCACCCACAGGCCATTGAAGATTTTCTCCAGTAGAACATTAAAGATTTTTAGCTTAACTCATGGTCCTTGCTAAGCTAATAATATTGTGCATGATTTTTTTCCCCTCAGTGTATCATCGGGAGCCGTTCATTTGGACATGTTTGTATGCATTTATTCAAAGCTAAAAAAAAAAAAAAGATGGCTGTTGACTTTCATAATACGAATCCCAGATTTAGCTTTAATGTTGTACTGAAGAGAAAACGTCACCTGCATCTTCAATTGCCTGAGGGTGAGAAAATTTACTGCAAGTATTCTTGGATGAACTATTCCTTTAACATTATTTTAAATATTAACTGACAAACTCAATTTTGTCCAAATGTTATTTTGTTGAGCGATATTTTTTTTGCCCAAGACAACAGACGTTATACAACTGAGTGAATCCACAAACTACTGGTTTGTTATATCAGCCATTTTCAAGCTACAACTGAAAAGCCAATGGTTTTTAATTTTTTTTTTTAATCAAACAAATAAATATTGGTATCTCTAGTTAACAATGGCTTGTTTATTGACTTTGCTAGAGCAGCCTAACACATTTTTATCAGCCTAAAAAGCACAATGTAATGACATCACTGTTGGCAGGTTTTATTTTGAAACATGTACAATAAAACTATTTCAAGCATCAGATTACTGGATTTGAGATGTGAGCTGTATTACAGATATGGACTGAATTGCAAAATCTTTAACACCTTTCAGCAAATCAGCACTGCATAAATAAGCAACATTACATTTTATATTGTCGCATCGGTTTTCAGAAACACCCTTCTGAAGGATTCTCAAGAATAAATATGCCTTCTAAATGCAAACAACATTATTACCCACATATCAACATGCTCTGAAAAGCAGAACTTCTAAACCATTAACCAGCAAATGAACTATAATGCAGAGCATCACACCGCTGGTTATGGTCAATTTAAGAACTCCAGCTTTAAAATGAGGTAAAACAAAAATAGCACATGGAGTCCAGAAAATAGTTTGTTTAAATTAAAAGGAAGATGAGTATACAATATCGCTCAAAAGTCTAGGGTATTTGTTGGTATTTATAATTAAATAATATAAGTATATATAACTTTTTTTTTTACATTATTATATATGTTTGTATTGTTTATTTTTTTCAAGACACCAAAAAATAATAATATGCTGACCGCTTATTTAACTCTTCAGTTCTACCAAGCCTGTAAGATTTAGTTTTCTCTGAAGTCCGTAGTACAATCAGATTTTTTTTTCTTTTTGGGTGAATATCATTAACATTAATACTTATATTTAACAAGGACACATTTTTAACTTTTGACTAATTAAAAAAATCAGAAAATATTAAAAAATTGCATTTTCAACATAATTATAGTAAGCATCAGGTCAGCATATTATAGTATACACTATCTGACAAAAGACACATCATCGATCCCAGTTGAAAAAGCAACAAATAATAACTTCGTTGATCATTTGGAAAAGTGGCAGAAGTTAGATTTTTCTGATGAATCTGTTGAACTGCAGTCCAATCATCACAAATACTGCAGAAGACTTATTTGAACCCACATGGACCCAAGATTCTCACAGAAATCAGTCAAGTTTGGTGAAGTAAAAATCATGGTTTGGGGTTACATTTAGTATGGGGTCATGTGAAAGATCTGTAGAGTTGATGGCAACATCAACCACCTGAGGTATCAAGACATTTGTGCTGCCCATTACATTACAAACTACATGAGAGGACAAATTCTTCAGCAGGATAGCGCTACTTCTCATACTGCAGCTTCCACATCAAAATTCCTGAAAGCTAAGAAGGTCAAGGTGCTCATGGATTGGCCAGCCCAGTCACCAGACATGAACATTATTGAACATGTCTGGGGTAAGATGGAGGAGGAGGAGGCGTTGAAGATAAATCCACAGAATCTTGATGAAGTCAGGGAGTCCTGCAAGAATGCTTCCTTTGCCATTCCAGATGACTTTAATAATGAGTTACTGTATTTGAATCATTGCAGAGATGTATGAATGCAGTCCTCCAAGCTCATAGGAGTCATACATAATATTAATTCTTGTTTCACTGCACCATGACTTTATCTTCTATACTGTACATTATTTATGTTAAGTCACAAGACTTTTGTGTAAGCAAAGTCCTAATTAAATAATTAAAAATCAAGGCATGATCATATTTTACTTTGGTAAAATAAGTGTAATCTAGACGCCTTTGCCTTGCCACTTTGCCTTTCATATAAGCCACTTTTGATACCAAATGATCAACTATAAGTCAAGTTATTATATGTTTATCCTAAAACGTGCATAGGTGACAAGAAGGCTTTTGTCAGGTAGTGTATATTAAAAGATCCTGTGATGCTGAAGTCTGAAGTAATAATGCTGAAAATTCAGCTTTGCCATCACAGGAATAAATGACACTTTTAAATATATTTCAATAGAAACCAGTTATTTCGTTTCAGATTGCACCTTGAATAATACACAGCATTGCATACGTGTGTAATAAAAGCAATGTAACTGCTGTGTGCATAAAAGCCCTTTCAAAAACAAATATAATCATGCCAAACTCAAACTTTTGAACATTAGTATATATCAAGTCTAGAAGAACTGCAGACATGGTGTCTGTTGTGCGTTAAAACTCGAGTGCATTACTGGTCCAAATTGCCACAACAGTGAGTGTCTACGGTGACAAAGAGACAGATACATCCACTTCTGAAGCCTGAGGTCTTGGGGGAGCTGTAAAACTACCACCATTTCTCAAACAGGATTCTATCCTCTGGAAGGCCGGTGCTCTGCAGATCTGAACTCACTTTCTCTATCATAGGAGGAGGACCACAAAGATAACACAGCGTTCGCTCAGGGTCTACATAACGCTGAAGCTCTTCTGCTGATATCCTTCCACCTACAGAGACATAAGAAGCTCACGTGACACATCGAACCTGAACATACTTAAAACTTCAGGTAACGTAAAGCAAAAAATACATTGGAGATCAAAATTAGAGAACAATCTTCAATTTCCTAAATTGAATGTCACAGCTAGTCCTGTTTGAAGTTATTCTAACAGGAATGTTTAAAGCATGTTTCATGGGTTACATATATTCCGAATTTTCTGTCTTTTTTTTATTATTAAACAATCCCCATCTAACTTGCAGCTATAACTTCAATGACTTTCAAAAGTCAGCCATAGGTGGTTGAGGATGTGTTCTAGTTTAGAGTTACAGTACAAGACAGAGTGAATGCAAATGTTGATCAGAAGCTCTTTCAACAGCATGCAGATCCTTCTCTGCGCTCATCACCCAATGCTCCAGCAAATGTCACTCTGGGCAATGAGTGTTTACACAGCAAACAATGACAGTTCTTTGAAGCAAAAAAAAAAAAAAACAAATATAATGAAATGGCCAGCACAAAGTACTGATCTAAACCTGACTGAAAACCTCAGGAAAATCATTGGTGAAAGAATTGAGACTAGACTACTGAGACTAGTGATGTCATGAAAGAGACTATTGATGTCCTGTGAGACACTAGTGTAATGAATGTGACCTATCAGACACATAGACAGTTCATGTAGGTCGTGCCCAACTGAGCCTGGTTTCTCGAGATTTTTTCCCTTCATTTTTATCAATTGGTGAAGTTTTGTTTCTCGCCACTGGGTTGCTTGGTTTGGAACTTGTGGAACTGTGCATCAATGCATTTGCTCTTGAGTGTTTGTACTTCCAGCAATGAAATTTAAACCACACTGACTGAACTGAACTAAACTGAACTTTAACTCTGAAAACTGAACTGACACAGTCTCAATCTACATTGTAAAAGCGCTGTAGAAATAAACATGAAATAAATTGAATTGAATAATTATTTAGCTTTATTTAACCAAAAATGCGCAAACTCTCCTATCCAGCAACAGCAATTGTCGGTGTGTAAAGTCCGACTCCAAAGGTATTTACGACACAGAAATAAAGTGCTGTTTTGTTAAAAAAAAACATGCTCACGCTCCTGTACAGCCCATCTTAATACTTCTGCTTCATTTCATATAATCCTTTATCCCCTCTCTATGTGTAATCCAGTGTTTGCAGCAAGTCTCATGCTTGTCTATTAATTTTCTGTTTTAATACTCCTGGAATGAATGTGTTACACTACCACAGTTAAATTAAAGACCATAGTTCTTGTTGGATGTCCCTGCTGAGCTAATTTGGTGAACTGAATGATTTTATGTTAATATTTGTGCAACATAGTAACATTTTAAGAAACTTTAAATGTTTCTTCATCAGCATTCATCCAGGATGCATATGCAAATCACCAAGCTTAGAAAACTTCCCTTGTGAAGGTAACTGTCTCATCAGTCATCTCAGCTCCTAATTATTAATATTTCCCCCTCGAGCTAGTTCACTACACTAGTGTGACTAGCGATGTCCTGTGAGAGACCAGTTAGTCTAGTATTGTCCTGAGAGAGACTAGTAATGTCCTGTGGTTCTTGATGTGCTTAAGTCATTTGGTACCATAAGAAATCATTAATTACTTCAGTTTTATTTATTATAGTCTGAACATTCTTTCATTTTGAGACATAACCGTATTCTCTCGCTTACATCTCGGTCACTTGAGTGCCCAAATTTAACCCACAAGCAGCAACATGAGTAAGAAACAGAAGTTTTTTTTGAAGGTTTCTTAGCGAAGGGGAAAACGGGACCCAACAACTGCCAAGGAATAGATCCGCTACCCAATTGTCAACAAATCAGGTAAATCCACCATGGCTGCGTGATGAACTGAAGGAGATCCCAAATGACGGCGACCTTTTATGGGCCGTTCGCATGTCGCATCTTTTCTAAAGATCGTACAAGTTCATTGTTTCCAATGGAGGTGTGTGGCTTGCGCGCACAAGTGGTGTGACGTGCTCGCGCCTTCCATACCAGATGCACCTTGTTGAATGAATCCCACGAGCGCACAGTCACATGACAAGAATTGACTGATCAACTTCAGCTTGTATGGAATATACACATTTCGGTAAGACTAGTCATCTCAGACAAACACATAAAAACCCTAACACTGCAGTGTTTTGTAATTTTCTCCATAAATAAAACTTGTAATAGAGTGACAGCAATGTTTTGTCTGCTTGTCTTCCTCTGAGAAAACGGTTAATGGTCGCCAAGCAAACATTCCAAGGAGGTTCAAGCAGCTCGAAGTTTAAAATTGAAGTCTGAGTTCTGAGATGGGAAACTCTGAGTTTTTGGTTTTAGATCAGCTGAATAGTAATTTTACTTAACTTTGAGCAGACTGACACTGAGCTAATCGCATACGCCATGACTAAAAGCCATTGTCAATGGAGCTCTGATATCGCAATTCATCATGACAACAGCATATGACACACTTAATTCTTATCATTGTTATAATATTACAGAAGAAAACTGGCAGAATTGTAGGTTATTGAACTAAAAGGCTATTTGTTTGTATCTCATGAGCAAAAATATTAAATAATAATAATTTGGGGCTGCACGGTGATGCAGTGGGTAGCACGTTTGCCTCACAGCAAGAAGGTCGCTGGTTTGAGCCCCGGCTTGGTCAGTTGGCATTACTGTGTCGAGTTTGCATGTTCTCCATGTACTTGCGTGGGTTTCCTCCAAAAGTCCAAAAATGTGGTACATGTGAATTAGGTAGGCAAAACTGTCTGTAGTGTATGTGTGTGAATGAGTGTGTATAGATGTTTCCCAGTCATGGGTTGCAGCTAGAAGGGCATCCGCTGTGTAGAACATATGCTGGATAAGTTGGCGATTCATTCAGCTATGGCGACCCCAGATTAATAAAGGGACTAAACCGTAAAGAAAATAAATGAATGAAAAATAATTGTATTTTTCATACATTATTTAAATATTGTAATGTGTAATGTAATGTGTGTATTCATCTAGTGCGTTTATCGTGTATAGCCATAGACTCAAAGTGCTTCACAGTCATGAAGGGGGGTCTCTCCACACCCTCACCAGTGTGCAGCATCCACTTGGATGATGCGACAGCAGCCACAGGACAACGGCGCCAGAGCCCACACCACAAACCAGCTACAGATGGAGTGGACAGACAGTGATAGAGCCAGTTCGGTAGACGAGAATGCTTGGGAGACCATGATGGGTAAGGGTACATCCGCCTACTCTTTTTGAAGAAATGCTATGGGAGATTGCCACAGAATCTCGGTTTAACATCTCATCCGAAAAACAGCACCAACAGACAATATTAACCTTATTCTAAAATGCGGAAGTGCGCCTGTTTTCACGATTGTCTTTGAACTTCCGATTCAGTCGCCTATGGGAGAAATGACTAGGAATAATAAACGGCAGAAAACGGTCAAACTACTTGCTCTACAAACAAATGTTTGCATGACTATATAGACCAAGTAGAATAATATAACAAGAAAATATCAAATTGCAACATCAAGCAGCGTAATGAGCAGTTTGTAATGTCTAAAAATGAATGGAAGTGAATGAGACCGGAAGTCTCAAGCCAAAAAGATTCAAATGGCAGCGCCCACTCGTCGGCGGAGAATAAGGTCAATAGTTTCCCCCTCACTTTATTGGGGCATTAGAACTCGCACAGACCGCAGGTTAAGCACCCCCTGCTGGACTTACTAACACCACTTCCAACAGATGATCTCCCATCTAGGTACTAACCAGGCTAAGGTACTAACCAGGTACTAACCAGTTGCCATCAAGTAAAAAAAAAAAGGCAGTTTACATTAAGTGAAAATATCTCTAGATATACAACTAAAATAAGAGATTACATTTTTAAAGATGTTTAAAACAACTGTTCTCTAATTTTGATCGTCACTGTATGATGATCTGCAACTCACGTATAGTGTAAGGCTGAAGTTGTGGCTCTATGTCGGAGCTCTGCTGGGTAACATGGAAATGGCAGGAGAATTTATCTGGTCGCTCGTGACAAATGTCAATAATGGTGTCCTGAAGAGAGCAAATGTTTCAAAATCAGTGTCAAGCTTCACTTTTATGTGTTTAAAAGTCAAGATTACAAACACTTACCTTGAAGAGCAGCTCTGTAGTGTTCTTGGCGCTGTAACACAGGTGTGTGTGTCCTGGTGTGTATCTGTGACTGTGAGTGTGTCTGTGCAGATCAGCTGCATGTAGCAGGATGGAGTATAGAGGGTTAATTCCAACACCTCCAGCCACCAGCAACAGGTCCACCACAGGGTTAGAAGGCTGAGGGTCAAAGTAGAAATTACCCCCCACCCTCACGGCTACCTGAGAGTCCACAGAGCACTGCAACAGAAGAGGATTAGGATTTTTAACAGACTAATCTAACACTAACACTGTTTTATTAAATGTAGTTTTCAGGCTTCTCGATAGTTAAAGTAAATAAGTGGAACTAATGTAGCATTTGCCATAAAAAAATAATTAACCTAGATTGAATAGTCTCAGAACATCAGAATTAGGTCAAAAATCAGACTTATTAGCCTCCCTGAATTATTAGCCTCAGTATATTTTTCCCCCAATTTCTGTTTAATGGAGAGAAACATTTCAACACATTTCTAAACACAATAGTTTTAATAACCCATCTTTAATAACTGATTTATTTTATTTTTGCCATGATGACAGTAAATAATATTATCTTTCAAGACACTCCTATTCAGCTTAAAATGACATTTAAAGGGTTAACTAGGTTAATTAGGCAGGTTAGGGTAATTAGGCAAGTGAATGTATAACAGTGGTTTGTTCTGTAGACTATCAAAAAATATATAGCTTAAAGGGGATAATAATATTGATCTTAAAATTATTTAAAAAAAATGTTAAACTGCTTTTATTCTAGCCAAAATAAAACAAGACTCCAAAAGAAAAAATATTATCAAACATACTGAAAATTTCCTTGCTCTGTTAATCATTTGGGAAATATTCAAAAAATAAAACAAACTCAAAGGAGGTTTAATAATTCTGATTTCAACTGTAGAATCATCTTGAAGATTCAGAATATTTCTCAGAATATCTCAGACATAGGGTTGGGTGCCGAAACCTAGTTTGTTCTTGTTGCTTGTAGGCAATGCGTGCAGTGCAGCGCATCCGGTGAGCGACTCCCTTCAGATTCATCAACACGCATGATTCCATTTATCAAATTTGCTTAAACTAGGCATTCGGCTATATTTTATAAGCAAGGATTCTGACACAGCAAAGTGAAGCAGATGCTTTACAAAAGTTGCGTGTAGGCTAAACTTTTTCAGGCCTGGAAAATGCCATGTCAAAATTCCAGGTTGTCCATGACCGTATGAACCATGCTTAGATACCGTATAAAAACCTCTGCTTCTGCAATCATATCAGTTCAAAAACAATATCAAAAATATACCTCAGCTGATAATAAACAAACATTTAAATAATTGACACACAGTTGATTTATGTTGGGTAAACTGGGCCAAGCACAGCTAAATCCAGTCTGGCTGAACGACTCTTTTTCTCTATTTTTCCTATGGTCAAAATATTTTGCATGCAAATACAATGCATCTGGAAAATACTCATTGTGCTTCACTTTTACCATTTTTTTTATCAGGTTATATACTAAACTTCTTAAGTTGAATTTACTACCTTTTTTAATACCTTCAAAAAAAATGTAATACCAGCACGACTTGCACGAGCTGCACCTGTAGTGGCGTAAATGAAATATGTTTTCAAATTAAAAACATATTGTAGATAACATACATTTAAGTAAAGCAGAGGGATTAATAAAGGTGTCACAAAGGGCCTTTTTCCATAGTTGTTAATCAATGTCATATATGTCATCAATGTCAATAGTCGCTCTTCTAAGAACAGTTCGGTATGGTTGTTTCTCCACTGAGCGTGGAACAGGGCGGCACGATTACAAACCGTTCTCGGCCCAGAATTCTCAGCATGGTTGGACAACCGTGCTGAACTGTGCCGATAAATTCTGCGTCAGGGCTCAAAATGAACTTTTTTACTTGGTAGAATCGGTGCTCTCAACTTCAAATATTTAGGAGCACCCACCAAATATGAATGAGCAGCACCACTGCAAAGTGTATATTAAGGGATTTATTGTATTTGAAAACAACATCAATTAGGACTAACAAAAACCAGAAACAACTAACTAATTCTGTGATGACTTATTAATATTTGGGCAAAATTTCCAAAACGAATGTCTAATAATGGTTCAATATTAATGATTACAATGATGACACTAATACTACTAATAAATGACATTTCTCATTATCATGCTGCCTTGAATGCGAGTTATCTGCTACAAAAAGTCCTACTGTTACTTTATGAAAAATAACAAAAGTAAAGCATTGCAGTAAGAAATATTTATTTTGCACGATTGTTTTTATATCAATTAAATAAATAATATTTCTGCTACAAAACAAACGAAAGATTATAATAAATCATTCAATTCAAGGATAAAAGCTGCAGTCATCAGTAATTAAATAGAAACATAATATACACCTCAAGAAAGAATGGACACAAGAAAGGGAGAAAGGTCTTCTATCACTCTTTAAACATTTTGGTTTGGGTTTGTGTCATTTTTAATGCTCAGTCTCGTAATGCACTGATTTTCATTTTTCTGTGTTTGTGAAAAAAAAAGCAGGCAAGTCAGCCGACCGGGGCAGAGCAGGATTCTCGCGATGACTACTGGTGCAAATACTGTTCTTTGTCATGAGCCGCAGTTTCAGTTCAAACTCAGTAAAGGCGAGCTTGTTTTGCGATGATGTGTAGTGTTAGATTTTACATTTAGCGGACATCTGTGATGACCACGCAGTGAATAAAGCATAGAGATTCGGGCACCTTCTCCGAAAACACTCGATTGATCTTGGCTGGCGGATCAACATTCACCACATAATCTCTGCATTTCCCGCGGACACAAAGCTCCCTGTCATCTGACAGAGGAAAACCTTCAGTGATTGACCGCTGACATGAACCAATATAGCGCCAATAATCATCTTCTTGCAGACGTGGCTATAAGCCTCGCGGCTGTTGCCAACTACAGGCATAGGCCAGTCTTTAAATCTTGCTTCCTCCAGCCAGAGGTTCGAAAACTTGCATTTCCCCATGTTTTAATTCAATAAATGAACGAAAGCAAACTCGCCTACATGGTTGGCAGCAAGCCAGCCAGGTACCCGGTTTATTTCAGCGTGCGCGCGAACACCACCTCACATTACAACGCTCAGGTCCTACTCTCAACATATAAAAAAATCCTTGCTAAATTTAGAATAAAGGCCTGCACTTAACACAAATAAAAATGTATCTAAAAATATTGGGCTCGAAAATGTAATACCTCGTCAGATGACATTTATTACTTTTTAATACTTTTAATGCCCTTAATTTAGGCTAATTTCATTTACTAACTTTTACAACCATTTACAACCCCGCGGACACCCTGTTTATGTTGCAACCTTATTCCAAAATAGATTAAATGGATTGAATTAATTAATTTCCTCAAAATTTTACACACAATACCCCAAAATGAGAATGTGAAAAAAGAATATCAGAAATTGTTGCAAAGTTAAAAAAAAATTAAAAGCCTGAAAAATCACATGTACATAAGTATTCACAGCTTTTGCTCAATACCATGTTGATGCACCTTTGGCAGCCTCAAGTCTTTTGGAATATGATGCCAAAAGCTTGGCATACCTGTCTTTGGGAATTTTTGCCTATTTCTCTTTGCAGTATCTCTCAAGCTCTATCAGGTTGGATGGGAAGCAACGGTATACAGCCATTTTCAGATCTCTCCAGAGATGTCAATAGGATTTAGGTCTGGGCTCTGGCTGGGCCACTCATGGATACACCGAGTTGTTGTGAAGCTTCTCCATTAATATTTTGGCGGTGTACTTTGTCCTGCTGGTAGAAAAACAGTCACCCCAGTCTGAGGTCAAGAGCACTCTATAGCAGGTTTTCATTCAAGATGTCACTGTACATTGCTGCATTTATATTTCCCTTAATCCTGACTAGTCTTACAGTTCCTGCTGCTGAAAAACATCCCCACAGCATGATGCTGAGAGTGGTGCCTGGTTTTCTCCAAATGTATTTAAAAATAATTTTGTCTCATCAGACCAGAGAATTTTGTTTCTTATGGTCTGAGAGTATGCCTTATGGCAAATTCTAGGCTGGGAGTGAATTCCGTCAAGCCACTCTACCAAACAGGTCTAATTGGTGAATTGCTACACAGATATTTGTGCTTCTGTAAGGTTTTCCTCTCTCCACAGAAGAATGCTGGAGCTCAGACAGAGTGACCATCGGGCTATTGATCACCTTCCTGACTAAGCCCCTTCACTCAGCTTAGATGGCCGACCAGCTCTAGGAATAGTTCTGGATGTTCCAAACATCTTCCACTTACAGATGATGGAGGCCACTGTGCTGATTGGAACTTCAGAGCAGCAGAAATGTTTCTGTAACCTTCCCCAGACTTGTGCTTCAAGACAATCCTTTCTCAGAGGTCTACAAATAATAATGCTTGGTTTGTGCTTTGACAAGCATTGTCAACCCTGGGACGTAATATAGACAGATGTATGCCAATCATGTCCAATCAACTGAATTGACCACAGGTGAACTTCAATTAAGCTGCTGAAACATCTCAAGAATGATCAGTGGAAACAGAATGCACCTGAGCTCAATTTAGAGCTTCATGGCAAAGGCTGTGAATACTTATGTATGTACATGTGATTTTTTTTTAAGGTTATTTATTTTTAATAAATTTGTAACAATTTCAAAAAACTTTTTTTCACATTGTCATTATAGGGTATTGTGAGTAGAATTTTGAGGAAATAAATGTAAATGAATTTAATTCATTTTGGAATAAGGCTGTAACATAAAAAAATGTGGAAAAAGTAAGGCACTTTCCAGATGCACTGTACCTGTAAAACTGAAACATAAAAGTCTCTGCAGTTTTTGTAATCTCAACAACAGCAATTATTTTGAAACCTGGTGTACTTTGATTGACTGCATGTACCTTGTGAAGTACAAGTGTCATTCTTTGACAAAATGATTTCATTTTGAGTCAGATTTCCTGTGTTTTGGTCAAGATAGTGTGTGCAGAGAAAGACAAGCTCTATTTTGAAATTAAGAATTTGTATATATTTAACAAAATTTCTTATTAAGAAGATAATTATCCATTTGGCTAATTGTGTTTTGTAGCTGTGAGTCTGTGTTAAGAGTTTAGAAAAAGTATGGGTGTTTGTTTGCGATCGACAAAACTGTAAATAATTAAAATACTCAAAAGGTAAGATTGTTAAAGTTAAGTAACATCAGTTATTTAGATGTGTTTAACATGTCAACTATGGTAGTTTACTAACTGGAACCTTATATTAAAACATATCAACCAACCACACTTTTTGAATAAATGCTTTTTTTTCCCTTCACTTCCTTACTTCGGTGTGAATCCAGTGTGCTGGAGGATGGCGCGCATATTTTACAGCCAGTTCAATCACTCCTTCTCTCTTCAGCAGACCTGGACTTGAGCAAATGGAGAAACCGCCCACAGTATCCACACCTGGGATGAAGAAATCCACCCTGATGTGAAAAAAAAGTGAAACGGTAATAACACAATACAAGCCATTCACTAAAACAAAAACAACTACACAATAAGTGTGTTTATGAACATTGACAGAAAGCACAGATTCTTCCCACACAGTAACATACCAGGACAACTAAATCTATGTGTACAACATTACTTAATGTCGATAATATTTAATAAAAGTAAAACAACACGTACGCTTTGACAGTTGCCATATGTGTATGAAAAGCATGAATACGTAATAAACACATATGTCACACACAGACACTGTTCTTCCTGACTCATGTTCCTCGAGTTCTTTAGCAGGAACACAACATCATATGGTCTGGAGGAGTTTCTGTGCATATATCTGCATCAATCATCGCCTGACTTTTTCACCTCACTCAGACTCTCTGGAAACTCGCACACATACTCAACACTGTAGGGCACAACGGACGAGAAGTGAGAGAAAAAAAGTGTGGGGAAAGGCTAGGGTAAGAATAGATTTTCCTTCTTTGCTTACAATGGTTTTCACACTGAATTAGTTGAGTGTTTTATCTGAGAAGAAAGCGCCATCTCCTGGACTTTGTGCGAACTGCGTGTTTACTCAGCTTGGTGGTAACATCGCAGCATTAGGTTCTTACGACATACCCAGGCCCGGATTGGCTAATCGGGAGGACCGGGAGAATTCCCGGTGGGCCGGTCTGTTTTTTGGCCGCGAGGGCCGGTGTCCCTAGCTGCTTGCACTCTCAGCAGTCATACTTTTTTCTTCTATTTATTTTTTTGACCATAGCTTTACTCTTTTTAATCATTATTTTACCGTAGTGCCGCTCTTTTTATTTATTTTCTCGCAGCCCCGTGAGAAAAATGCAGCCTGCAGGTTAACTAACGTTAATGATGATGATGCAATGCAACTATCGCCCCAAACAGCGGCACCTTAGTGAATATAAGAATTCGAATAAAATGAATAAAACACCTGCTCAATGAAAATCAAATGATTCACTACATTAATAAATCTGACATAACTTGATCAGAAATCTAAAAATAGGAGAAAAAGATTGAGCCATCAAAAGAAAGTAGTGCTGTGTCTTAAGGGTCGCAAGTCATCAGTTATTTTTTTCTCTCACTGTAATAGCGCCAATGTGGTCCAGTGGTAAGCACATTGCATTTCAATGCTAAAGACCAGTGATCGAATCTCCCATGAAAAATCTTTTTTTTTTTTTTTTCGATTTTATTGTTAAGACATAAAATACTGTTAGGGCTGTTGAACATTTGAATTTCTAAAGCAGCAGTTTTCTTGAAAAAGACGTGATAGTGCCATTAGTAACTGAATTGGAATCAGTCGTGAACTGAGGTGGGCCGGTCTGGCTTGAAACTCCAGGGCTGAAAATGAGTCCCACTCCAGCCCTGGACATACCTCATCATATTACAGATATAATTTAGTATTTGTTTCATTCTAATGAACATTCTAATGCATGCCATTTGTAGCACCCTTACCGCCCGAAGTGAGACGATAATATGTTATTGAAACACAGAGCTGCTGCTGCTTCATGTCAGAGTCTCTGTAGTTTTTTTTTTCTTTAAACGAGTACACTTAATTGTATACGTTCACAACATTGTAACACATATATATATATATATATATATATATATATATATATATATATATATATATATATATATATATATATATATATATATATATATATAAACCTCTTCACAAATAATAATATATGTCACAAAATCTCAGCATATTTACATACAATATTCCTGCACACTTTTATTACTACACAGTCATTATTTTCAGATATTGTTTATTATTTCAAGTTCTATATCAGTATGCTAAATGGTTCAAAATACTTCATGGCCTACAACTTTTAAAAATCAAACAAAAAAGTGCAATGACTTTAATGTAATACCTAAACCACATCCAAATTAATTTATTCACAACAAATATATTACTACGTGCAAATTATTTGGGTCATTCTGCCAGAAATGTACATTATCTGTCCTTCAAATCAAAACAAACATACAGTGAATGAAAAGTATTTAATCCAAAACATTTCTAAGATGTACTGATGGTTGATTTCTGTGAGTTGTTTTGTAAAGGAGTAGATTGTTTTTCTTTATTAAAACACTTCACACATTTACAAACCTCAGCTCAATTGAACCTACAGCATTAGCAGATTTGTAACTTCAGAAACTTGATCCTTCACAAATAGTAAGATTAAGTTGTTATCGTTTGTATCAATTGATTAAAAACATAAAATTATAAATAAATTCTACAAATAAATACTATTTTACAATTGTCCCCATGTTTTTGTCAGTCCTGTCACATTTGCATAATTTTTTTAAGACTATGACTCAGTGCAAGTGACATCATTTTAGTTAAGAACCAAGACCACATTACATTGACGTATAAAAATCAACAGCTGTTAAAAATGATGAAGTTTTTGACATTTTTGTTAGACCTCACAGCAGGAGAACTTGTTGAAGTAGGCCACATGATAAAATTCCCAGTGGGCATCTGATCTATTCTAATGAGTGAACACATAAAAAGTGTAGAATACGCAAACACTTTTTAACAAATTATAAATTTGTTCCCTGTGATTTTTGGCAAAGTCAAGTCAAGTGTGTTCATAGAGCACAGTAAGATGTTGATGGCTTGTAATGAATTTCTTTTGCTCACCAAGTCTGCATTTATTTGATCCAAAATACAGCAGAAACAGTCATCAGGTTCCCACTTTAACTTTAAGGGCCCTATCATACACCCAGCGCAATGTGGCGCAAGGCGCGGCGCAATAGTCTTTTGCTACTTTCAGCTCGGCGCAAGGGTCATTTCGAGGTGTTGCGCCACACTGTTTAAATAGCAAATGCATTGGCACTCATATGTGCGCCCATAGTCGTTCTGATCTAACAAAGCAGGCGTGTTTTAGTGCGTTGATAGTCTGTTCTTTAGACCAGAACAAAGTCGGTCTATTGATTGGCGCAAAATGCGCCTGGCTTACACACTACACGCAAGATGTAGAGCAATACGCAAATATCTTTACATATGAAAAAGATATAATATATTAAGGATATATATAATAAGGATATATATAGGATAGAAATATAAATTATTAAAATATAACAAAACATATTAATTTCTAGCCAACATGAATTTAAAAACCACTGCCTTACTTTCTTCATCTCAGGAGGCTTTTTCAGTTCATTCAATTTGCTTTTGTATAATGTTATTATTATTAGCAGTATTATTTATTATATCCATATTTATATTTGTTTTATTAAAAACAAGCTTAGATTTGTCCACCTGTCAGGTTTTAGACTATATAGGGCATAGTAGGTGTATTTGGAAATAGCTCAGTATTTTGACCACACTTTGTTATCATTGTTCATTTATTTGTTTGCTGGAAATTAGAACTGAATTTAGAAATAGTTTTAAAACAAATCTTAAAACAAAATTAATTATTTACAGGCTAATGGATGTCTGTGCGTAAAGGTTTCCCTATCCACTAAAGCAAAAGCGAAAGTGAACTTACTTTATGTCATGTTAATAGCAAATGCGCTTATGGCGCGACGCAGCTGGCTCTTAAAGGTAATGTGAGATGAGACTCTGATTGGTTTATTCTCAAAACACACCAATAACTCATTAAGAAATAAACTCAACCCTTTTAGACCATGCGCCACGGCGCAAAGCAGATTTTCCCGTCCTTAATAAATTAGCAAAAATGCGTTCTGACACGCCCTGAAATCGTTTGCGGCCTGCGTTTTGCGCTCTGCGCATGGACCGTCAAAATAGAGCCCTAACTGACATTTCTTTAATTTTTAACTGACTGAAAAGATGGGGAAAAAAAGTTTCCATGACCTTAAATATAATTTTGCATGACTTTAATAGCCAATATGAGAACAATAATCGATCATTTGTTTATTGTAGATTTGACATTGTATTTCAAATTATAGATTTTGAACCAATTCAGAGGTACTTTTTTTTCCCTCTCCCATATTAGATTAGAAACATATTAGATAGCTTGATAGCAGTTTTACGAACTTTACATTTAGCTTTCATTTGTTAGGTTTAAAACCCAGTCTTTGAAGTGCTAATGTTGAAACCTTAACTCCAAAAGTTTATATTGTGCTGGAAATTTTGCTTCAATTCACAGATACAGTGACTACATTTGACTAAAGTGACCGCCAATTAAGAGAGTGAGAATGGAATAAGGATCATTAAAAAAAAAGTGACATACAAAAATCCCTGAAATTCCCTGACTTAATAACTGCAACAGACCTTTTAAAATTCAATGATAATCCAGAAGTTCCATAACCCGTGGGAACCCAGAGTAATAATGTAATTTACTACTTAAATTAATTTAATTCTGTTGGAATATATATTTTAAATGCATTTTTTTGTTAACTAAGCAAAATTTTCAGCATTTTTACTCTTTAGTGTCACACGAACCTTCAAAAACTAATAATATGCTGATTTGCTGTTCAAGAAACATTTATTAATAATATTAATATTTTTAAAAATAGAGTAAATTTTTCCAGAATTCTTTGATAAATAGAAAGTCCAGGGTTTTTAAAACATTATACACTGCACCATTCAGAAGGTTAGATCTAGTATTTATTTTTTTTTTAAATAATGCTACAAAAAAATTCTATTTCAGATAACCCTTGTTCTTTTGAACTTTATTAATCAAAGAAACCTTTTAAAAAATACAGTATATATATATATATACATATATACATACATACATACATACATACAGTAGGTTTTGAACCACTTTAACTGTTGTATACCTCAAAACTATACTAATGACTTTGCTTCTACCTCGCAAATTTCATCTTAGAATTAGCGACAAAAGGCTAATTTGGATGATAAGAAACTAGTCCTAAAAACAGTAACGCAGTTTGAGGACCTGACAAATGTCTTTAGGTATGATAATACTGAGGTGTTTATGTGAAATAAAATGTATAGAAAAATCATGGCCATGGGCATGTGTATTATAATCTAAATCTAGTAATGTTATAAATTTTAAGTTGCTATCACAAAAACTGTAGTTTTCCTGTATGATTTTGTTTAGATGCTATATAAAACAGCATTCGGACGACACAAAATGTTTAATTGTATTTATTTATTTATTTACCACAAAATGTATTTATTTCTGACACAACAGCACATTTAACAAAGTGATTCTCAGACCTTTTCAATTATATATATTCTGTCAAGATTAGAAAAAGGTTTGATATTAAAATATTGCAGAGAAATTTTAAATGCAGAGCATTAGAGAGATTTCCATGGCAACAGAATGTTTTTAGAAGATGATTTTCAAGTGTTACATTGTGAGAATAATGTCTCATTTAAGATGGCTATGACATGTAACAGATGCGCAAGAACACACAAAATATTTGTATTATATTATTACAAAGATCCTTTAAGTACAGTAACTTTCCATTACACATCCTTTTCTTTATAGGTAGAACTGGTTCTTTAGATTACTAAAATGTCCTTCACATTAAAAAACTAACGAAACTTCACACTTATTATGTAAGAACTCCACTGAAACGTTGTTTAAGAGAATCCAGAATAGTTCTTTCAAGTGTACAATATTAAATAATAATTACACTGCCCATTGTCAATTATATGGCCCATATTTTACAAATGTATAGTTCTTCTTACCACTGTCCAGCACGGAAGCTGAAGTCAGGATGAGCCACTTCCAGTCTTAGTCTCTTTACAGTATCAGATTCACTAATAATGTCACAAACACGTGCAGAGAAAAGTTCCTGGGTACACAAACAGAACATCAAATCTGGTTTATACATAGAATTTACACATTGTATCCTCCCATATTTAAAATAGCTCTGCATAATACTGGGAAAATAGGTAATGTTGTTAAATGTTTCAACAAAACAATATTTCTTATGATATAACATTTCCCTATAAAAATTGTATTTTCATTAGCTATCTTTTTAAATGATTTTAAATTTATGTAATGAAATTAAAATAGGTGAAAGATATTTCAAGATCTAATTAAATCTGATAACTGAGTGAAAACCTAAGCAGATATTCTGACTCTGATTGGCTGTAGTCATATTCCTCCGCCATTATTAGTATTTTTTTTTTTTTTTTTTTTTTTTTTGAGCTCTGGGTTTACCTTTGGGCCGCTCCAGCCAATAGCAAAACATTTTGAGGAGGTGCTGGTAAAAATAGTAATGCCCTATCTGATTGGTCAAATTTAGATAAACAACCAATGCATAAAATAAATGTCATTTATTTTATTATTACTATTATTATTATTTTATTCATAATGTCATGTCATTTATCACAATAACAATCATTTTGCGATATATTGCACAGCCCTAATTTAAAATGTTTTATGCTATGTAGCTGTACAAACGGGAGTCATTATTTATTTGTATTACTCCAAATCTACACACAGTCATGTTCAACTAAATATAAAGTTCTATAACATCGTTTCACAATAAAATTAGTGTTAAATAAATGCCCATTTGAAAATAACCATGGTTTTAAAGGGGACCCATGACATCCCTTTTTGTGACTGTCACTTTAAATTCAACTGATCATTTTTTTTCCAAAAAAGACAGAGCTAAAAGTTTACACTTATGAGGGAGAGATAGTCACTAATTGGTTGGGCTTTCCCCCTCCAATGACATGTACAAAGGGAGAATGTCAATCAAAATGTTTCTACAAGCTGGCTTTATGAAGTGTGATTATAAAAAAATATAATTAAAACAATGTTTACCATTAGAGCCTGGCTATGTTTACACACTGTTGCCACACAACTGTGTTTAAACCTCTTATAAAAGTGATTTTTGCATATTAGGTCCCCTTTAATACAAATGAACATAGAAAGTTAAACCATAATTTGCAATAATTTGTCATGATTTGTAAACGAACCACTAAACCAAATGCAAATGATAATCAATTTGCCAAAATATGCATTAGTAAATATAGAACTATGACTAATAAATACTGCACAAGTATTGTACTCTTAATTCAAGTTAGTAAATACAGTAACTAGCGTTAACTAACGAACCTTAATGTAAAGTGCAACACAGTGGGTTAACAATAACCAACAATGAAAGATTTTTCCACCGACTAATATTAACAAAAAATAAACACTGTAATTACTACTGTAATAAATGTGTTTTTGCATCTTTGTTCGTGCTAGTAAAAATACATTAACTAATGGAACCTTTTTGAAAAGTGTTACTAACTGAAACAACTTAACGTTCGATTACATCATCTTGAATTTAGTCTTGTGACAAATCAAATGACACACTGGTGGACCTAAAACACAAAACAAGTGTCTGAACTTTCACCTACAAGGCTCCAACATTTGTTAACCATTTATAAAGACCCAAGCAAGAATCTATAACTAAAAAGTCAAGATTTTCATCTAAAAAACAGAAAACAAATCTAAGAAAACTCACCATTTGTCGATGAACACTAGCAGTTCTCTCTAGATGGTCAGTCCGTCTCCTGGATGTCATTTTTCTGAAACACATTTAGGGTCGTATAGTTTATACACTAAAACAATGACTTTGTCTCATATACTACATACTTTTTTGTGGATGTTTTGTAGCATGCCGACTAGGTAGGCTGCTTACCAGGTTTTAGGACACAACCTTAGTGTCCAAAGCCTCTAGAAACAGCAGTGGATTCTGGACGATACTCACCGTGTGACTGTGACTTTGTCTGAACACAACACAGCAGGTCTGAACAGTCCTGATCCACCGGAGAAACCTCTGGCCACCGTTCGTACAAAGCACGGGGCACTCATGGTCAGATGTGACGGGAGGAACTCTGTCAAACACCTTATAACATTATCAGACAGAAAGGGCAGTTCGTCTTTTAATAATAATAACCAACGACACTGAAATATCAGAATTTCTTTTTAACAGCCAATATATAAAGACATTCACACGTGTGAGAAACAAGCAAATTAGTGTTATTAACTAAATTATTGGTTTTATTTTTAATATCTCTTTAGGTTTAATTTTAAACAGTAGGTGAAAATAAATCGAACACATCGTAATGAATACATATATTTATCAAGAGGAATACTTTACGTAAAAATCATTCACCTCTGTCACTCTTCTGCTCCGGTGAGTGACGTTTCTTCTTCGTCTGTGTTTACGGTGGGTGATTCGAGACTGTACTGCCATCTTGCGGTGGTATTTGAGTTAGAACTGGATAAAGAAGTTAGATTTTAGATTATTTAGATTACTAAATATCCATATAAATCTCACTCCATAAACAATATAAATTACACTTATATAAACTACACTGTGTCGCCCACAGTATAATCAAATCAAATAAATAAAAAACATTTCATACACGTCATTCATGACATACATTTTATTGTTTCTTTCATTTTCAGACAAATTAATCCTTCTTTAGAAAATTTTAGTTGATAAGAAATCTAAATACCAGTATATGTATAGTAGAAAAAAATATAGGTATTCTGCAAAATATATATTACTCTTCTCCTAATTAACATTTACAGTACTGTTGATTTTATGAACAGTTTTTAAGGTAAATAAACTGTAATTAAGTTACCTAATAATTAAAAGTAAACCCTTCTTTATTTTATCAATGGATTTAAAATTATTATTATTAGTAGTAGTAGTAGTAGTAGTAGTAGTAGTAGTAGTAGTAGTAGTAGTAGTAGTCGTTGTCATAGTAGTATAACCTTTATTTTACCAGGAAAGACATTGAGATAAAAAAAAAAATCTGACCTGTGAAAAAAAGTGTCCTGGTCAAGATTTCACATGGAAAAAAAAAATGTTTAGTTACCATGAATCACACATTGACAAACAAACTATTAAACTATTCATCTACAATATGTTTCAATTTCTAAATCACTTATACTTTTTTAAAAAGCATTTAGTGAAATCAATTCTTTAAACTGCAACTTTTTTCATTAGCCCTCATGTGATTTCGTGATTAGTTTAAAAATAGTTGTTGAGTTTTATTTAAGGTGACGCAGTGGAGCAGTGGGTAGCACTATCGCCTCACAGCAAGAAGGTCGCTGGTTTGAGCCTTGGCTGGGTCATTTGACGTTTCTGTGTGGAGTTTGCATGTACTCCTCATGTTTGCTTGGGTTTCCCTCACAAGTCCAAAGACATGTGGTACAGGGTAGGCTAAATTGTCCATAGTCTATATGTGTGAATGAGTGTGGATGTTTTTTAGTTATGGGTTGCAGCTGGAAGGGAATCCGCTACATAAAACATGTGCTAAATAAGTTGGCTGTTCATTCCTGGTAACCTCGGATTAATAAAAAGGATTAAAAAAAAAGAAAATGAATGAATGAAAAAAGTTTTATTTAACAGAAACATATTTCAACACATTTGTATTAAATTGTTTAATAATTAACTTCTTTTGTCTTTATTAAAATATTTTTCTTTGGCCTTTACCAAAATTTGTTTTTAAATTATGTCTTTGTTTAAAATAAAAATCTGCTTTTATTTTAGTCAAAAAAGACTTAGAGAGAGATAGAAATATAGAGAGAAATTACTGTGAAAATTTCTTTGGTCTGTTAAGCATAATTTTTTTAATTGAAAAATAATTTTAATTTTACATGGGGGCTAAAAATTGAGACTTCAACTATTAATAACATAATATTGTTGAAATGGGTTGGGTTGAAATGATATTAATTCAACAATAAAATAGAAAGACAATTATTGTAAAATTTGAAGACTAGAATAATTTGTTTACCTGCATTTCAATGTGACCATGAACTGGAACTCTGAAGGTGATTTTAAACTATTTAAATTTTGTATAAACTTTCTGAGGGATTTCATGTAAAAAGCATAAATTTGCTATTTTAGGGGTTAGATTGAGCAAGGAAATACTTAAATTGTTTGCATTAAGTATTATTAAGTATTCCACATTTGAATTATTTTTACTAAATGTCACACATATAGTTTAAGGACTGAGTTCAGTAACTTGCATAATTTGTTGCACATTGCCTTTCCTCCCAAATTAAGAAGCATAGATCTAAAATTAGCCTAATATACTAAGCAAATATTTGGGAATATATTCAAAGCTAAAGAATGATGTGCTATGACTTTTAAAAATGCCATTTAAAAGACAAAAACCAAAGTGATATCTGAATTTGAATATAGTCATGGCATGCACAATTAAGAAGATATCATAATCATATTGTGAGCACTCCAATTACAACTACTTATTGTTGGAATCTAATTAGATGATATTAGCACAAGAACACGTGATACATGATCTCATTTTACTGAAGAAGTGCTATAGCTTTGAAATTATCAATATATAGCCTAATATTTTTTATTGTACTATATTATTATATAAAATAAAAGCCAGACAAGGCTGGAAAGGTTCATGACAAAAGTATATGCATGTGCCTTAGTAGAATAAATGTTAACTTGTGACCCAAACATTGGTATAGCCTAATTTTGGTAAAAAATGAAACACTAAAACATTACAAAAAAACTATTTTATTCTAAATTGCAAATGCGTGTTTTTTTATTTTCGTGTTTTCATGTTTTAGTGTCTATGTACACGAACAGGAGTGAAGTCAAACAAATGTCACGGAAAGTCACGCCATTATGATTACATCAAAAACTGGGAGGAACTTTAAGTCTGAGCTCGTGAGAGACGCATCAAAGCATGTGATGGGTAACATGCCAGTTTTATTTTCTGGGCAAACTAAAGTTGATCATAAAGTAACGCATTTACAATTATAGATTCAATAATTGTCAGACTATATCATAATTGCTTTCCATTTTTTTCCAGATTGACTTATAGCTACCTATTCTTGTCCACATAGCGTTGGACAGGACAAGCTCTTTACAAAAGTGGATCTGTAATATCGTTCGTCCCTTGACCTGCAGCTGTTTCTCAATCTCTTGTCACTTGAAAGCGCACGGAATGGGTCTGTGCAAATGTCTCAAACGTCTTATGACATCCGGATTTAAATAATGTAGGCTATTTAACGGTTTGCAATTAGAAGCCATGTTTTTTTTCTTATATTACCACAATCGTTTGCTCATTTCAAAAGCCAAAAGAACAACACAAACATTTAATTCAAAATAATTCATGCACGCAAATGTAATTTGTTCATTTAAATGTGCTGCGCATTTAATAGCTATACATTTTTAAGTAGCCTACAGTATTTAGCCTTAATACAGTTCAACTGTTTAGAAAACTTCAATGTTTTGTAATAAAAGTCACAATATTTCATATTTATTCTGTCTATTTTTGTTTAGTCCACATACCACCTACATTTTTGCCACGCTCAACTTTTGTCCTGCAAATGTAAATACTTTTAATAGTTATTTTTAACATTAGTTATAATTATTTGAAAATATTTTCACATTTTAAATGATTCTCACGTTTAAAAACTTTTCTTGCCTTAATTCGTATGTTCTGTAGGGTATTTTATTAGTATTTCAAAAATTGTCAATGATGTTCTTGATACAAACAACCATATTTTGACAATGCTATTTTGCACTCGAGAATTAAGTGGAAAAACATATTTTGACCTTTATGACCCAAGGTTAGTTATTCTATAGGTCGAATTTAAGACTTGTATAGGTTAAAAATAAGGCAGTTTCTTGATTATCATGGATTATTAATATTACAAATATCTAAAAAAAACAACTTAGTTTTAAGTTATGATTATGCTTACTTATTGAGTTCATCGTTGAATTCAGGATCATAAATTGTGTCGAAAATCCATGTTTTTTGAAAGAAATGAATAGTACAAAAATTGCTATAATCTTGAACCATGCAAAACATGCCACATTTTCACCATCACTTACCTTTTACGTAATACTTGGCTTTCATTTTTGTACAGTGTAAAAACTATACCAAACGAACAAACAATTGAACACAAATGCAGCATTGAAAGTTAATTTCTACATCCATATAATCATCGTATAATCACAATTTGTATTTGTGTAATGAAATAGTGTTAATAAATGAGACTTTCACACATTAAATTAATTTTTTTTTCAATCCACATCAATTTGTTAAAAGTGTCAAATTATCTTAATCGATTTGTGTTGGGACAACATGAATGAATTGTGTGTAACCCTGCATCTTTTACAGTGTTGTTATACAATTTCTTGTCATTGACTGTCACAGAATGCTATTTGGATTTGTGTTTAGCCCATTTGTGTTTGTGTTGACATTATAACTAAAAAACTGGGATCAATGATTCTTGGATCAATTACATTTCATATGAGATGGTGATATATTTGCTTATAATAATATAATATACAAGACTACATAAAAATAAAGTCGCCAATCGGAGAAAATTAAAGAAGTTGATTTTAAAATCTACTGTAGTAACAGCAAGGGTTAAGTAAAGACGAAACTCCACTCCGCCCGCGCGCATCCACGTCCTAATGAAGAATCAGATGCGCCTTATTACAGGAACGTCACATGATTGTTGTATTAAATTAGAGTGACTGAGGGAGGAGAACGACAGCAGAAGACAGTTGAGGAGATTGGGATCAACCAGCCAGGGTGTCGTAGGGGGGCATACAAGGAAAAAGTCCTTGGATAGTTCAGTTTTCATAAAATTTTCAACTAATCCACAAATCGACATGATGCGACTGGAGCTGTTATTTGTGCTGGCCTGGGCATTTTTTGTTCCTGGAACGAACAGTAAAAAAAGTGAGTAAGAAGATGTTTAACTACAAGATTGAGCACTGTCAGTGTTAATGCCAGGCTACACTTATATCCAAGTTGTAAAGCGGCAAGACTAAAATTTAAGTTTTAAATAAGTAAAGATGATAATTTTTAAACTAACCTACTATTTGGACTAGCTGTTTTAGACTTTTAGTTGTCTTGTCTATTTTTAAACACTAAAATAAAAAACCAAAGGATCATAAAACAGTAGGCCTATGTGGCAGGTTTGAAACCCTATAACTCATGGAAAAACATGCATCAGATGTTTTACATCTAATAACGAGCTGTTTTCGTCCGCGCGCTCCAGTCTCATGGATCTAATTAGGCAATATGAGAGTCACCAAATCTTGTGGAAATACTTTCACTATATTTAGCTCACCAGACTGTATGTTTACTGTTTCACTTAATGTCGGAGTCCGTAAAAATATCTATGAGCTGACTATTCACTTTTTAAGATTAAGTGGTTTTTGCAGTGATCCGTTTTTTTCTCCAGAGAAACTTTCGGTGAACCGTAGCCTGCTTATAATAATAAATTTGATTTATGATTATTTTCATGATTATTTTCTTAAGCTCAAAGTTCTAAATAAGGCTAAACAAAATACGAATGCAACCATGCCAAATTATTATAATAAGAATAGCCTTATAAAAATAAAAATAATAATAAGAACCATTCTCTACATGAATATATTGAGTAATGTAAAGGTTCTATGGATGTTACATTTTCTGAGAGCAAAAATGTCATAAAAACTTTTGTTAAGTTTGTTTGTAAATTGAATATGAATTTCAATAGTTTTTTTTGTGATGTAGCCTATAAATGCTAGAGCCCTAGAAAGAGCCCATCAGAAAGACATCTTTCCATTGTGACTATAGGCAATAATATTTCAATTAAGTGTACTGTCCAACACGAAACCGTAGCTATATTTTCCATGCGTAGCCCAGGTTTGTTCCAGCTCTCATTAAACTCTTATTAACTATCGGTTTTACGCGTTTTTTTTTCATTATTTATCTTTTTTTTTCTCTGTCATGCGTGCAGCATATGGTGACATGTTCCCTCACAAACATAAGCTTCCTTTTCCATTCCCAATCCCTGGATGGGAACCGGACACGAACCCTTGGGACGAATCTCTGTATCCCCCCTTCAAACCGCAGCTGACTCGCAGACATGGTAAGAATGTATTGAATTGTTTGTCAGTGATATTTATTTTACTCTCATAAAATTTCCATTTTACTGAAAGTCTACATCAGAAAATGTTAGATACCCCAAAACAGTTTTACAGAAACAACTGTCAACATATATTTATAACGAGTATTACAACGATTAGGCTCATAATAATAATAATAATAATAATAATAATAATAATAATAATAATAATAATAAATATTTTGTAGTTAAATAAAAATAAAAACTATAAATAGCTTAAAATAATGAACTATCCTATACATAAAGTACAAAATATATACGTTTTTAAGATGTTTTAAAGTCAATAGTTTTTTCCATTATAGGCTATCAATGCTTTAAAATTTTGACAAAAAAGACAGAATCTTCAGTTTTGAGTGAATTATCCCTTTAAAGTTGTTCAGAATAGCAATATAAGACAGTTTTTCTTGTCTGGGGTCACAGATTTTTTACAAATTAATTTCCATCTTCAAAGACGATGACTGAAATGACATTAATCCCTCAGTCCTCTCTCATGACAGAAAAACCACCAAAGGTGCGTCTAACGAGTGACAGTCCTGCGATGAATGGCTCGTGCATCTCTTTCACTGCTGCTCTGGAGTTTCCTCCATGTCAGAAGGAGGACAGCAATGGCAACCTGGTGTATGATGAACACTGTGATGACGGTACGATGGACACCTCAGGTGCTTCATACCACTGTAATCTCTAAACAAAGCAGTATTGTTAAGGGAGAAATGAGCTGTGTTTTAAAAGGTTGTAATTAAGCACACTGTAAAAATGCAGGGCTCCACACAATTCGATAAGGTTATCTTAACAAATTTAAGTGGATTGAACATAAAACAATAATGTTGACCAAAACAAATCTCGATAATTGAGTCGTTTCAGCTCATTTTAAATAAGTAGTTTGAAAAAGCATCAAAACCTTTTATTTTTATTTTTTATTTTTTTATTTTTATTTTTTTGTGCAGGTCATGTGTTGGGTCAATTAATCTGAAAAGTTTCAATTACTCAATAATTTATTTCATACTTGACTCCATACTACATAAAATTCCTACAAATCTCAATGGATCACAAAGAAATTAACCCCTTTTAATTGTTTAAATTTGTCAAACTGGGCCATTTAGTTTTTTATGTAATAAACATTTTCTTAAATGTTATTTAAATTAAAAAACTATATCAAAACACAAAATATTTGAAAAGTAATGATACTATATTTCTTACATAATATATCATTACTTCAGTTGAAAAAAAATCAGATTTTTATGAAAATTATTTGAATAACAAAAAATAAGTAAACACTATTCCTATGCTTCTCTGAATTTATATCATGTATTGCCATGAACTAATCTCTTACTCGATTCATTGTTTGATGTGTAATCATCTTGATAAATGTAATTTTTAGTTGGAAAATAGAAATTTTATACAATATATATTTGTATAACATACAATACGATTGCTCTGCTTCTCTAAACTTATTTATATGTAATTGTTGGATCTATTTACAGTATTTAAAGTGTTTAGCTATTTACAGGATTTATTTAGTGCACCCTATTTTGAAAATTAATATTTTTATCAATTTCTCAGTGAATATAGGCAATGTATTTTGGTTTCATTTAAACAAAACAGATTTATTAAACAGATAAATGTATTAAATTAATATTTTAGGCACCAAACATTTTTAGAAATAGAAAGATAATACAATAAATTAAAGCAAAATATTGTAAAAAAAATACAACCTACAAAATTTTAACACATTTAATTTTAACATTATTTATTTTTGCTTCTCTTGTTTTTTTTCCCCTCTTTTTAAAATTTGTATTTAATATTTTTCTATAACATATAAATTTGGGTGTACTAGTTTTTGGACCGTTATCGTAAGTTATTTTAGTGAGTTATTTAGTTAAGTTAAATTAAGTTAGCTCCAGATTTGGCTTCAGTACTTACTAATCTAATGTATATGCACAAATATAATATTGTATAGCTTCCTATTAAAAATATAAATTTAAAAGAGTTGCAAATAGAAGTAAAAGTTTGTAAATAATTACAGTAACAGTTCCTTTAGTTACTTTAATTACACACCGGTCATGAAATATGGATTCAGAGTGATCTTTTCATAAGAAATAGGTTATTTTTAATTAAAACAGGCAGTAAGTTTCGACTTGTAAAATGTCCTTGTCATTATGAACAAAACATTTATATAAACCAAGCTGTAAAAAAAAATAAAAAATAAAAAAATCTGAAAAGTAAGAATTTTCACTTTGACCTGTCCATTTTGAACTGTGTCAAAAAAATCATGTTTTTTTTCTGAGCATTTGTCTGCAGGTCTTTTTTCACTGATTAATGGGGAAATTTGCTAAAAGAATTTAGTTAAAAGAAAAATACAGTACATACGTTTGCAGGATTTGACAGCAGCAGAGTTGAATTTCTAGGCTTCATAATTTTTTGTGTGTGAATAGTCAAAACACTCCCATCACCTTTTGTTGTTCAGAAAAGCAATGTAAGACAGTTTTTCTGGTCCGGGGTCACACATTTCTTACAAATTAATTTCCATCTTCAAAGACGATGACTGAAATGACAATAATCCCTCAGTCCTCTCTCATGACAGAAAAACCACCAAAGGTGCGTCTAACGAGTGACAGTCCTGTGATGAACGGCTCAGAGTTGAATTTGTAGGCTTCATAATGTTTTGTGTGTGAATTATTTTCCTATATAATGTAGTCAAAACACTCCCATCACCTTTCGTTGTTTTTTCCTATACAGTGACATTAACTAATTAGATTGTTCACCCAAAACTAAAAACTTGTGTCATCATTTACTCTCCCTTCACTTGTCACAAACCTGTTTGGTTTTCTATTTTTTCTATTTTCTAAGTTTAACAAAGATGAAGGTACTTTGAAAAATGTTGAAAATCGATAACCATTGACTTTCGTGTTTGTTTTTCCTATTGTGAAAGTCAATGGTCACCAGTTTCAAACATTATTCAAAATATCATACACTAAAAAATTATTTCTGTAAAATTGTTGCAAACAATTTATTTGGGTTTAATTTAAACATTAATTTATTTTATTTTCGGCTTAGTATTAATCTAGGGTCACCACAGCGGAATGAACTGTCTGAATTTTAACAATAAAATTATATTTAGTGATGTTCAACTTAATTTGTTTGCTTAAATTCAGCCCAAATAAATTGTTTACAACCACTTAAAATAATAAAAAAAAACAAGACCTTTGCCACCATGCACACTCAAAAAATTTTTTTTACTTGTTCAAACTTCGTATTTAAAATGAACGGAAACAATACAATTCTTCAGATTTCATTGGGACAACTTTAATAATTTTATGTTCAATCCGCATAAATCTGCATAAAAAGTGTTAACTTAATCAATTTATATTGGGACTACATGAATGAATTGTGTGGAACTCTGCATTTTTACAGCATATATATATATATATATATATATATATATATATATATATATATATATATATTGTTGTGATTGAACCTCACACATTAAATATTTAAAATAAATAATTAACAAATAATTGTTGCAAAAAAACTTTTATTATCCCAAAGAAGGAAGGAATGCTTTTTTTATTTGTATCCAAACCCTTCGCCAATTTTAGCCAATGGACAGCTGCGCTCAGGCTACGTGTTTAACTGGACATCCTGGTTGGATGACTATGGCTACGGGAAGTGTACAGACCTAAAGAGATGTAATGTTTTCCCTGATGGAAAGCCTTTTCCTCAGACTAATGACTGGAGGCGCAGAGGTTATGTGTATGTGTGGCACACCATGGGTGAGTTTCAGTCCAATAACATCAGTAATTTATTAATAAACTCTGTGTAATGTAACCATAATGTACTATAATTATGTGGATTCTTTCACAGGTCAGTATTTTGAGACATGTGATGGCTCTTCCTCTCATCTGACCCTGAACACCACTAACATGACGTTTGGAGCTGATGTGATGGAGGTGATGGTGTATCGTAAACGCGAGCGCAGAAAGTACAGCCCACTTTCCACAGATAAATCTGTATACTTCATTACAGGTCTGACAAACATTCTTCTACTTCTCATCATATTTATACACAAGATTATAACTATAGCACTAGTTTTACTTTAGATAATAATAAACAATATATTTCATTACTTAAAATAGAATTTGGTAAACATTTCGTCCCCTTAGAATTATAAAGTTCTATTATAAAGTTGAGTTATAGACATATTCTTATTAAGTGACAACTTATTTACATTATGGGATGTTTTTTATAAGTTCTTTACATTTTAAGACTTTTTATTTTTAAAAAAAAATGTTACACACACACACACTATTTGCTACATGGCAGGGATGTCCAAACTCGGTCCATTTAGTTCCAACCCCAATCAGACACAGCTGGCCTAGCTAATCAAGCTTTCACAGTCTAGAAACATCCTTGAAGGTGTGTTGAAGCAAGTTGGAGAAAAAATCTGAAAGACACCAGGACCGAGTTTGGACACCCCTGCTATATGAAATGCAAAAACTTTGAAGCTCAATATCTCTAAATCATTCAGAATGCAGATAGAACCTTATAATTCCAAGGGGGTGATTTCAGCAGCATTTCTCATTTTTGTTTAGTTGTTAAACGGATGTACTAAACCCACACAGTAAAAAATGCAGGGTTCCCCACTATTCATTCATGTTGTCCCAACACAATCTGATTAAGTTAACTTAACACTTTTGACAAATTAATGTAGACTTAACATAAAAAAAGTATTTATACCAATGAAATCTCAAGAATTTTGTCGTTTAGCTCCTTTTAAATAAGTAGTTGAATGAGCAAAAATATATATTTATTGAGTGTATAAAAAATAAGCTGAAAATTAATTCATTTGGTCACAAATCTCTCAAAATACACAAAAATGGCATTTGTTTAAACTACTTATTTAAAATAAGCCAAAACAACACATTTATTAATTGTTTTATGTTCAATCCACTTAAATTTGTTAAAACGAATAAGCTAACTTAATTCCTTCATATTGTACAACCACAAATCGATTGAATCTGAATGGAATCAAACTTTTTTTACAGTGTTAGATTTTTTATGCATGTAGATTTATTTAAAACATCACTGTAAAAAAGGTGGGTTCCATATAATTTCTTAATGTTGTCTCAACACAAATCAATACCGTTAACCGATTAACTTAATTGTTTTTACAAATTTAAGTTGATTGAACATAAAACAATTAAGCCCTAAAAAAATCAAGAATTGTGTTGATTCAGGTCATTCTAAATAAATAGTTTGAATAAGCAGCAAAATATTTTTGAGTGAGGGAAAACATCTATAGAAAGATGGAAAAATCACAAGTGTTAACTTTAGATGGCCTCATAAATTATCAAATTATTATAGCATCAAAATGACCAACATTTCTAACATGAAAACGCAATACTAAGTATGTGTGTAAATTAGAAATAAGACGTATAGCCTGCGTGGGTTTCCTCCGGGTTCTCCGGTTTCACCCACAGTCCAAAGATATGTGGTATATGTGAATTGGGTTGGCTAAATTGTGCGTAGTGTATGTGTGTGAAAGAGTGTTTGGATGTTTCCCAGTGATGGGTTGCAGCTGGAAGGGCATCTGCTGCTGGATAAGTTGGTTTTTTTAATATAAGGCAAAATGTCCCCAAATACAATATTTTTAGAAACCAATAGAAAACAATTTAAGGTCAATATTATTAGCCCCTTTAAGCTATATATTTTTTCGATAGTCTACAGAACAAACTATTGTTATACAATAACTTATCCACACATAACTTGCCTAATTTCCCTAACCTGCCTAGTTATAATTAACCTAGTTAAGCCTTTAAATGCCACTTTAAGCTGTATAGAAGTGTTTTGAAAAAATATCTAGTAAAACATTATCTACTGTCATCATAGCAAAGATAAAACAAATCCGTTATTAGAGATGAGTTGTTAAACCTATTATGTTTAGAAATGTGTTGAAAAAAAATCTCCTCTCCGTTAAACAGAAATTGGGGAAAAATAAACAGGGGGGCTAATAAATCTGACTTCAATATAGTATGAGTTATTCAAAACCATTTCATTAAAGTTTTTATCTGTGAAAAATAATAGAAAGTTTATCTTGAAGATGCAAAATGTAACCCAAATAAAATAGAATCACCCATATAATAATTTCTTAATGTTAATCAAAAGATTTTATTTCAAGTAAATGTAAATAAAAATGTATTACTGTTTCTATTTGAAAAATTCCAACATTGTTCCAATTAAAACTGAAAAGTTATTTTAAGAGGCAACATTGTGGCTCAGTGGTAAGCACTGTCACTTCACAGCAAGAAGGTTGCTGGTTTGAGTCCTGGCTGGACCAGTTTGCATTTTTGTGGGAAGTTTGCATGTTCTCCTCATGTTTACATGGGTTTCTTCTGGGTCCTCCAGTTTGCCCCACAGTCCAAAGACATGCACTATAGGGGAATTGAATAAACTAAATTGGCTGTAGTGTATGTGTGTGAACAAGTGTGTATGGGTGTTTCCCAGAACTAGGTTGCAGCTGGAAGGGCATTTGCTGGTTCATATACTTCATATATGAATTGTTAGATTAAAGGTGGATGGATGGAGGGATGAATGGATGGATGGAAAACCATTTACATTATTAGATTTTTATTCCATGTGTTTCTTTCATCTAGATAAGATTCCACTCTCCGTCAACATTTCCCAGAAGGAAGCAGCCAGCAGAGCGGACAGAAACATCTTTGTCAGAGGGTCTGATGTTATTTTCAACGTCCAGCTCCACGACCCCAGTAACTATCTGAAAACAGCTGATGCGGTGGACTTCATTTGGGACTTTCGGGATGGCAACCAGTTGGTGACACACAGCAGCGTGGCAACTCATGCATATGACATGCTTGGAAATGTTACAGTCAAGCTCCTGGTAGAGGCAGCATTTCGTGTTCCCTGCCCTCCACCGACTCCAACACCAGTGCACTTTACACAAGCTCACACCACAGGTAATCTCATAAACACAGGCACTTTACGCTCCCAGACAGGAGAGATGCTCTACTGCCAGACATTATCCATCACAATCAAAATGCATCCATTGACAGGGAATGCTGGCATGTTCAGCCCAAGCTTATCATAGTTTATTGTCTTTAAATCAGTTTTATATTTAGTACCATTTTAAAAATTGCCGTACATGTCAGTTTAGTTTTACACAAAAAAATACAGGGTTTCACACAATAGATTTGGGTTGGGACAACATAAAGGAATTAAGTTAACTTAATAGTTTTTACTAAGTTTAAGGATTTTGTTGTCTCAGCTCAAGGTTTAATATTTGCACAGCTTGCATTGACTCTTCTACAAACTATTTATTAATAATAAAAAATAAATAATTGTTTGATCAAACTCAAAATTAAAGAAATTCAACAAATAACATTTTTTTATTTAAATTATGAAGAATTCAGACAAATTTTTTTTATATTAGCAATCATAGTTAACATGTGTAAGATCCAACCAGTACTGGTGGATGTAGGTTCAATGCATCTTTGTTCTTATAAATTAAGTGGTTGTAAACAATTTATTTGGGCTGAATTAAAACAAAGAAATTAAATAAATTAACTAAATTTGTTTGATTAAATTCAACAATTTTAATATAAGGTGGTTTAGAATATTCATATATTTATGCTCATTTTATCTGACTGCAATCATAAAACATTGAGAAGCCTACTGTAATATTTAATTTACATGAATGTTTCATTATTTTATTTAATCTCGTTTCTATACATTATACTCATTTATTCTGATTCCTATAACATCCCGAGTCTTGTATACCGGCTGAGTACAATCTCTTAAACACAAGCATGTCAGTCTACGTCACTAAACAGAGGTGATTAACATCTATTCTAAAAGTCTACTTACTCATATTAGAATATTTATGTGTGGTCCCCATAGATCTGCTATCTAGTTAATTGAAACAAAACTATTTAATCATACCGTAATCATTACTATAGATTTAGGCAGACCAATTTACTTAAACTAATAGTAACTTTGAGTAGATACCATATGATTTAAATAGGCTATTTAAATTTAAATAGCCTATATTTCAGAGGTAATTTGCCATGTTTTGTTACTGTGCAGAGTTGTAGCTGCTTAACTAGGCCAACTACGCTACTGTATTTCAATACTGCTCATTTTGGTGGTACTTGAAGAGACAATTTTTTTCTGAGGTGGTACTTGATGAAAAAAGTTTGAGAACCACTGATATACACAGTATAGAGCGTGAGAACTCTACACTACAGGATAATCTGATTACAGAATCACCCAGAATCAACTTTTTTTCCTAAATAGTCAGACCAAGAATCCCCTCAAAGAATGGCTGTGTAAAAGAACAATAGGCATTTGCATTTAGTGGCATGTTAGACCTGAAGAGTTACCGTCTATAGAGAACAAATGGTCCTTTGAATAGAGGCCCCCTAGTTAGGGGCACATCCTTACCAGTAGGTTAAAAGACAAAAAGTTAAACCGTTTGAGGAAACCGATCGCAACAAACCATTTAAGTTTAAAAACTAATCCTAATAAGTACTGTGAACTTAATCCATTTAAGTAAACAAAACAAATGTTTTGTTTTGTTGGGTTATTTTTTTGAGCACAATAAATCCCAATGAATGAAGAGAACTCAAACCAACTGAGTACTGTACAACCCAATAAGTAAAGGCAACTCAAACCGTTTGAGGAAACCGATTGCTACAAACCATTTGAGTACAATGAACTTGCTCCATTTAAGTTAAAGTAATGAGGTATTTATTTAACTCATTACCTTCAACACTGAGTTGACTGTTGAGTTTTACAGTTTGGAATGTGTGTAACAAGGATACCATATAATAAGTGTTACACAAATTTGTTCATATTTTTGGTTCACAAAAATATTTTGTTCACCCAAAATTAGCTTATTATCTAATTATTTATGTTTTAACAGTAAATTAGCATTGTGGAGAGACACTTTTGTTCACATATAAACACTGATCAGCATACAATGTTTACAGCATGTTCATTTCCTTAAATCACTTTAATGTGTTTCAGCAATACCAACTCTTCCTCCTGGCACTCACACATTTACTAGCAAAATGGAAACTACCAAAGGTAAGAAAACTGAAGTAACAACACTGATTAATCATGATTAAAAACAGAACACATAAAGAACATCTGTTGCATATTTTTGTTTCTTACTGTCCAGCTCCCGTCATCAGCAGTGCTTTACCCATGACCACCACTCGAGTTCCTACAACTGCCATCCCAACAACTGAACCCTTTCAGACTGACTCAGAGGTTACAGCAACTGCACCTGAGTCCAGCTCCAGCTACAACCAGCCCACTGCACCGCCGCTGCTCAAACACAAACACTTCCAGGAGTCAGACTGTTTCCGCCACATGTACGGCTCCTTTGAAGGAGAGATCATCCTCATTGGTAAGAGGATCGACAGATTACATTTATTTACAAAAATCTTGAACATTTGAGGAAAATTCATAACTGCTGAAGTAACTAAAACTATTTGGACATAATCTCAAAAAATGCATCAAGCAAAATCTAGTTTACTTTTTAAGTGATTAGAGAACTGGCTTAAAACGTAAGTATTACAAGTATAAAAATTGATAACTCAGAAAATTAAGATGACATCTGATTGCATGAAACTTAAATAAAGTAAAATCATATGTTCACAATCATATGTCTGACATTTTGATCAAATAAGATTTTACAGTCTGGGTTGTCATAAGTTGTTGTTGGGACAAAAATGGACAAAGTCAAACCCAATGTTGGGTTGTTATTTTTTTTTATTAAATTTTTAAACTTTTTTTAATTGTCTAAAAATTCATTCATTCATTTTCCTTAAAAAATAAATTTTTGTACATAAATATAAAAACCAATGCGTCCATGCCTTCTTTATCTCGGGGGGCTTTTTCAGTTTATTCAAGACAATTTGTTTTTATATAATGTTATTATTATTAGTAGTAGTATTTATTATTATTATTATATGCATATTTATATTTGCTTTAATTATAACAAGCTTAGTTTTGCCCGCCTGTCAGGTTTTGGACCATATGGGGCATAGCATGTGTATTGGGATATAACTCAGTTTTTTGACCACACTTTTTTATTATTGTTCATTTATTTGTTTGCTGGAAATTAGAACTTAATTCAGAAATAGTTTTGAAACAAATCTTTGCGCTTAACAAATGAAATTAATTACGTAAAGGGTTATGGATGTTTATTGGCTAATGGATGTCTGTACGAAAGAAAGAGAAAACAATGCAGATGGTCTGTTTAACTGTTCTCTCGCTAGTGAAGCGCTCCGTTTGTCCACTTATAAAGTCCGCCATTTAAATAGAAAATGTGATATGGTGCAACGCAACTGACTCTTAAAGGGAATGGAAGATGAGACTTAGATTGGTTTATTCTCAAAGCTACCAATAACTCATTAAGAGAATAAGCTCAACCCTGTTGGATTATGTGCCGTGGCCTAAAGTGGATTTTTCCAAAATAGCAAAAGTGAATTTGGACACGCCTTTAATGCTTTTACGTCCTGCGCTTTGGACTCGCTTCGTCAAAATAGAGCCCTTTATATGTGTAGTCATTCATTTCTTATTATGTGATGACTAGTCTAGTTTTGGCCTATTCTTCGACTGCTATTAGATTTTCAATGTCAGCCAAAGTTTAGTCTTGTTTTAGCCAAGACGACTATGTTTAGACATCTATCAGACATCTATAAAACATATTTTAAAAACAAAAAAATGCTTGCTGGGTTCTAGCTAGCAACAAAGACAACATTTCTCATTCTCATTTTGTTTAACTTAAAGTTCTTGTAGCTGAAACTACATAAACTAACAATTCATAAACTATAAATTTATGAAAAAAAAACAAAAATTACAAAAATAAAATTAATACTTTATTTATTTGAAATAAATACATAATTAAAATATTACTTTATTTTAGCTATAGCTATCAAGGCAGCATTCCATATTTTTACTTTAGCTTTAAAATGGAAGTAACTAAATTGAATACAATTATATTAAACAAAAAATAAATAATTAAACAACAAAATGACTAATGATTCAAATTTAACATGAAAAAGGAAATCATATACAGTTTAAGTTAGAATTATTAGCCCCCCCCCCCCCCCCCCCCCTGAATTATTAGCTCCCCTGTTAATTTTTCCCTCATTTCTAATTAAGGGAGAGAAGATTTTTTTCAACCCTAATAGTTTTAATAACTCATTTCTAATAACTGATTTATTTCATCTTTGCCATGATGACAGTAAATAATATTAGACTAGATATTTTTTTAGACACTTCTATACAGCTTAAAGTGACATTTAAAGGCTTAACAAGGTTAATTAGGCTAACTAGGCAGGTTAGGGTAATTAGGCAAGTTATTGTATAATGATGGTTTGTTCTGTAGACTATTGAAAAAAATATAGCAATTGTTTGGTTTCGTTGCATTAAGTTAATTATAAAAATAAATAAATAGTTAAATAAATATATAATGCATTAGTTAAATCTTTCTTTTTTTAAAGTAAATCTTTCTATTTTTTTATTATTTAAAAAAAAGGAAATTACCTATGGCAACTTTGTTATACATATTGATATAATTAACTTCGGCCCACTGTCCTCAGTTATGTTTGCTTTTTGACCCTTCATAAGATAAAGTTTGGGCACCCCTCATATATATAAAACATTATATATATATATATATATAATTTTTTTTTTTTTTTTTTTTTTTTTTTTTTACATACAAGTGCCAAGGCAACATTTTTCCATAGTCACAGAGTTAATAAAATAATAAAGTGCTAAATAATGTACGTGAATAAAAATAGTGTAATCATTTACAGAATAACAAAAAACGACTACACAACAACTTCACAAACATCATAAAAACTTTAAACTAAAAATAAAATTTCAAAATTATTGTTAGTTTGCATTCATATGTGGAGTTTGCATGTTCTCCTCTTGTTGGTGTGGGCTTCCTATGGGTGCTCTGTTACCCCACAGTCCAAACACTTGCGGTATAGGTGAATTGAATAAACTGTTTGTTTTTTGAATAAAAAGTGTATGGGTGTTTCCCAGTACTAGGGTACAGCTGGAAAGGCATCCGCTGTGTAAAACATACGTATGCTGGAATAGTTGGTGGTTCATCCCGCTGTGGTGACCTCTGAATTAGAGACTAACCTGAAGGAAAATGAATAAATGAATATCATAATATAAAAATAAATAAATGAATGACTTAAAATAAAACTGTATATTTGTCATTTACACCAATTTACAAATTTTAAATGTTTTTCATTCATTAAATATAAAATAAGCATGAAATATAAATTAATGAAGTATACAAATATTATAATTAATTATTATACACAAAGTTTTTTTTTTTTTTTTTAAATGACTATTTAATGACTAACTGTTCTCTAGAACGTCCTCCAGCTCTGCAGAACCTGCCGGCCAATCAGATTTTAAAGGTGTCTGCAGACAAAGTGAGCAACACATCAGTAAACTTCATGGTGACCTGCTCAGGAAGGTAATATTCACATCCACATTCACTAAATGTATTATAAACATTTATTTCAAGTAGGTGATAGTGACACACAGCGAGCATCTAAAGCCCTGCAGCTGAAATATTCCCTGCATGTCAGTGTCACAAACGTCAAACACATTCAATCATGTTTAAATCACAGACGGCGTCTGAACCGCATATGAACATCTAATCCAGCATCTTCATCTTTTTTTTAAGTGTTCCCTCAGTAGCCTGCACTATAGTGGCCAACTCTGCCTGTCGGGAGGTTAAGAACATTGTGTGTGAGGACGTGACCCCTTACGACGAAGGCTGTAAGATCAGTTTGACGCGCATTTTTCAGACGCCCGGCACTTACTGCATCAACATCACGCTGGGTGTTCCTGGAGGACTCGCTCTCGCCACCACAACCTCAATCACCATCGGAAACAGCCCTGATAAGAGTACGAGTTTGACTCTGTTTCTATGATTCATCTTTTTTTTTTAAGTCAGAAATTGAATATGCTGCTGGGTATGTTTTCATCCACTCTGGGGTTTATCAGTCTTTTGTTATAGTCTTAATTTGGCCACAATTCTATCATTTCATTACCTATTTTGTGAAAATGCATTAAGAATTTTTAAAAATTCAACAGTATACTTTAGGCAAATTTACTTCGCTTTAGTTTTTTGGCTGTTTTTGCCGTATTGACTAACATTATAATGACATTTTTTGATTGCAAAGCCATGGCAGCATATTATCCTGCATTCTTGATTGTTGCTGGTTTTCCTTGTTAGGAAGAGGTAAAACTTGTAACTTTTACTGTTGAAAAAAAGCTAAAAAAGGCTTCGTTTCTTGCCTAAATTGATATGTTTATTTGGAGGATAGTGTGTATAGAAACCAGTAACTTTTTTTCAAAGGCCTAACTTAAGGGTTAATGGTGCCAACTGATAATAGACAGTAAAAGTTAAACATTTTACCTCTTTCTTACAGGGAAAAACACCAACAATCAATCAAGAATGCATGATTATTTGGTGTCAAGGTTTTGCAATCAAAAAATGTTGTTATAATGAAAGTCAATGAGGCAAAAACAGCCACAAACATACCGAAAGGGTAGTCGATGTGAACAGTACACAAGGGATAACATAATTTATATTTTGTGTACATTTTCATCAGAAATAGTCCTGAAAAGATTTCACAAATTTGCAGAAGTTAGACATCACTGCAATTTGTAACTTTTTGATTTAGTTGCAAATTTTTATTCATTCGTAAGATCTTATTTGTACAGTTTAGTATGATTTGCTCATCCTCCAGTAAGGTGTACACTTAACACTGTTAGCAGATCGCCAGTAATCCCTGTAAGGGTGCAAGGAAGAGGTATGCCAGAGCACGGTTTGGTTGGGCTTTGGCTCAGTACACTTGTAGTGTGAGTGCAAAGCATGCCTGAGCTTGAACCTGAGGACACGACATCACTTGTGAGGGACTGCTTCATATGGATTTTTTAATCAATTTTACTTTTCAATGAACACAAACTGTTGCAGTTTATTGAAGACGCAAACCCCACGCTGCATGTCAGCTGCACCTTCAGCAAACCACCTAATACATGCAGCATAAGGACTTTTATGATCATATATGAACGTCAAAAATTGTGGATCAGTTCGGCAAAACATTTGACTGCATGTGATTGCATCCCAAACACCTAAGGGCATACTCACACTATGCACACTTGTCCTGCCTCCCGTCTCCCCCGACAGCCTGCACTCACATTACATTTGGCTCTGGCCATGCATTACTGATTATGCGCTGTTCAGTAAGCACTCTCGCTCAGCACAGTGGACATTTCTTCAGTTATATTGTTTTAGTAGTTTGGGATGCAGTGACGCAGTCAACTATTTCGCTGAACAGATCAGCCACTGCTGACGCTCATAAACATGCTGTGGTGCTGCAGTTATTAGGAGGTTTGCTGAAGGCGCAGCTGTCGTGCAGTGAGGGGTTTGCATCTTTATTTATCTACGACAGTTTGCATTTATTGAACAGTAAGATTGATTAATAAATCTGTATGAAACAGTCCCTTAAAAATCACTTCTCTCTTTTAGTTTCGGACTCGGACACATTTTGCACTCACACACAAGCGTACTGTGCCAAAGCCCAAGTGAACCATGCTGAGCCCGATTCAGAGCACTCACACTTCTCAAACGATCCAGGAAATGGGCCTGGGCACAGTTCGAATAGCATAGTGTTAGTACGCCCTAAAACAATATAACTTAAGCAATGTCCACTGTGCTGAGTGAGAACACTTCTCTTCCTGTTATACTGAACAGTCGCATAATTTGATGACGTAATCATGCTCAGGTTCGGAAGGCAAAATGCAGTGTGAGTGCATGCCTGTACCAAGTATGAGTACGCCAGCAAAATGGCTGTATTTACATTTCCAGCAGCATTTATCTCGTGTTTACAGTATTGTATGAATATCTTTACTGTAAAATATACAGTAATTTTCACAATGAAACTTTTAAATATAGTAATATACTGCATAACTGTCCTACAGTAAAATACAGTTCATAATACAGTTAAATACTGTGTAACTTACGAAAATGGTTAACAGTGTTGGCCTCTCTTTACAAATCACAAGTTTTCATATGAATTAGCCCCTGACAATACACAGACAATACATAACAGTTACGTTTATGTTGTGAGATTGGCCTGTCATGTCTGTTTTTTTGTATTATTTGTATAATATATGTCATAACTTTTTCATAAATAAATTTAATAGCAAATTGCATGTAATTTACTAGTCATTATTGTCATATAAGTCTATAACATTTTAGTATTTGTTTTGATTTACATTTTATTTCTACAATTGTTTCCGATTTTATTTCTAGGTCATCATTCCTCTTTAGTTTTATTTATTATGTCTTTTAGTCTTGCTATTTTACTTTTAGTTTTTATTTTTATAGTGTCTAGGCAACATTTAGAATTGTTTAACATATATCACCAACCACATATTACCATTTTAAATATATATATATATATATATATATATATATATATATATATATATATATATATATATATATATATATATATATATATATATTCAGCATTTATTTTTTTGTGACCAGAAATGACACAGGCTTCTCCCAATCTATAATAAGAAGATGTACAAGAAAAATCATTGCGGAAAGAAAATAAATATCTCTTAGCTTTTATTTACATTTGAAAAAAACTCAGAATTTGCCAGAGGTATAAATAATTTTGAGCTTTGCTGAATTTGTATATATATAAAAATATTACAAGGAATATGTCTTGCTAGGTTTGATTTTGAATAAGAATGTATCGTAGTATCTTACTAAGTAGCAGCACATCTGATTTTAACATGGATCATAATAATAAATCAATATGCAATAGATTAACTTATCAGAATTAATTATGAGACACGGAGAACTGGAGTAATACATGCTAAAAATTGGGCTTTGAATAATAAATAATTCTCTACAGTTTAAAATATATTTACATCAGAAGCAGTAGTTTTAAATGACAACAATATTCAGCAACATTACTGTTTTTGTCATATTTTTGATCGCATAATTGAAGCTTTGATATTTAAATGATTTCTTTCTTCCTCAAGACTCTCCTAAATCCCCCCATGTTGCCGAGGTGGTTCTGTCCTCAAGTGCTGTGCTTATTTGCATCTTCGCATTCATCGCCTACATGGTTTACAAGTGAGTACACTGAAAAAAAAATATTTTGCTGCTTGTTCAAACTGCTTATTTAAAGCGAGCTGAAACCACACAAATGTTGAGATTTTTTAGGGACATTATAATTGTTTTATGTCCAGTCTAAATTAGTTAACCTAATCAATCTGTGTTGGGACAAAATAAATTGTTAATCCATTTGTAAAACATATTGTCCCAACACAAATCCATTGAGTTAATATCGTTTTTACAAATTTAAGTGGACTGAACATAAACCAATCAAGTTGTTCCCAAAAGAAACTCAAGAATTGTGCTGTTTCAGCCCATTTTAAATAAGTAGTTTGAACAAAGATCTTTTTTGAGTGCCGTGCATTAACCAAACTGATTTCTATTTAAAAAATATGATACTACACTGTAAAACAAACTGGGTTGCTTCAACTCAAATTTAATATGGACAAACCCAACAATTGGGATAAAATTTCGTATACATATCCCATTATCTTTACTTATTTTTAAGGTTTATGTTTATACATCAATTGATTTATTTATTTTTACATTTTTTTCCAGGCGCTACAAGGTGTATCGTCCGGTCAGACGCTCAATGCTAGAGGATGCAGAGAGGAATACTGATAGCTGGGGCTTAGGCAAACTTAGAGCAGTTCTGTTCTCAGTGGATGAGGAAAGAAGCTGTTTATTGACCGAAAAGCCACAATAGGCTGACCTGAGCTGTCGTAGTCACCAGTTTCTACGGGTGCTACTTATTTAATACATCACCTTAGCTGTAAAACTATAAAAAATACAAGTGATAGGTGAGTGCAAGGGCGTAGAATTGAAATAAATAAAGGGGACATTTGTCCTCACCAATATCCACCAATTACTGACATGTCCCTGCCAATTATTGAATCGACTTCGAAATAAAATAATGCTCTGTCAACCCTTAGTAACCTACTTGTGCACAAAGGGTCAAGTTTGCTATAAGTTTACTATAATACTATTTACCAAGGCTATGCAAATACTCAAAAATCAGTTTGGATTTTGGCCTCCATGATTATGACAAACAATAATCAGAATAAAACAGTAAAATTGCATCACACACCTCTCTAAATTTCTCTACATTCATGTATATTGAAACCTGATTATTTACAACATGTAAGTGTTTATTTTATACTAATAAGTACTTTATTCATGTTTTCAAAAGTGCAAAAACTATTTTTGCACTGCATGCACTCTAGGGATGGATATCTTCACCAATGTCAAGAGCAAATCTTCGCTCTTGGGTGAGTGTATTAATAAAGATTGGATTACACTGGCATCTTATCATCAGCTTAGCAAGAAAAAATAATAGTAACATTTCAGCATGATAGACTTTGAACTCTTCATAGGGTACTCATTAGAAAAAAAAAGTGTTATTGGGGGTTATTACAAGATTTTTTATGATAAAGACGTTTATGACTTAACTCTTGTGTGCTGTTGGGCGTTTCCATCCAACGGCACACATCCAACTGAGTGATTTTGAGTCCTAATTTGGCCACAATTTTCTGTGTTAGAGAAAATTGAATGATTTTTGGTGACAAATCTTATTTTGACACAAATTTTGAAAAATGCTTTAAAAATGTAAAAATCCCAATATGATCTGGGCAAATTTACTACCCTTTCATAATGTTAGTGGCTGTTTTTGGCTTTCATTATTTTATTTCTTCCATTACATTGCCATTTTTTGGCATGACAGCACAGCACATATTCATGCATTCTTAATTGTTTTTCTTGATGGTTTTCCCCAATGGGAAGAAGTAAAATTAGATTTTTTTTTTTATTCAACAGTGGTATCATCAGTTAAAACCACTTAATACTAAAATCACTTTAAATAGGTGACATCAAGTTTTGCCCAACTGAATTGTGGATCTGTCTGCGCTGTAGAACTTGGAAACTTTTAGTCTGATCTCATGAGGAAACGTAATTATTTTTCGTTTTGTCAGTTTAGTATCTAATTCATACAAATTCATTTTCAGTCGTACAAAAATGTACGATTTTAAAAAGGAGGCGTGGCACCCAATCTCACACCTAACCATCATTGGGTGATGAGCATATTGTACTAAATTGTACGAATTAGATCATACGAATTCATACGAATTAGCCACTTAATTAAAAAGTTTCAAATTGGCATGAGATTGCGTTGGAACTTTTCAAGAGCCAACAAAAGCATCAGCCAATCGGATCACTTTATGCAAATACCCCAGCTCAAACAGTAGTCGATTGCAGACTAATTTCATTGGCTGCTATGATGATAGCATCAGACCTAACTTCAGACGCTGAAGCTCCCTGTGAATCGGCCGTTAGAGATAGGCCTGTACCAAAAAAAAAAGTTTCTCTTACATTATAATGCAAGTCAATGGGGCAAAAACAGCAACTAACATAATGAAAGGGTAGTACATTTCAACAATACACAAGGGTCAAAAATGATATATTGTAATTAGTGTCACTGAAGTTTGGATTTTTTATCTGCTTAAGAGTTAAAGGATTAGATAAATTCTGCTATAAATTACTCACTCTCAATTAGTTCCAGCCCTTAAAAACTTGGTTCATCTTCAGAAAACAAGTTAACATATTTTAGATGAAATTCAAGAGTTCTCTCATCCTCCATAGATAGCAATGGTCTGGAGATCTGGAGACATTCAAAGAAGAAGCCTGCGTGGGATGGATTTTTCAGTTCCGCTCCCACAAAATACAGCAGTCAACACGACGCTAATTAAAAATGTTTTTCAAAATTGACAATAATGAGTGTTGTTCAATAGTTTTAGGACAACTTTGATGAAAGGTGTTGATAAACTTCAGATGATGACTATTGTATATTATTTTCTCCCACTCCTTCCCAAAATATTCAAGTTTTGTCTCACTCCCAGAAAAGTAAGCAACAACAGTCAAAACATTTCATGTCACTCTATTGGTTCAACTGTAATCATACAGCAGCCAATACAATGCTTGTTTGCACTGCTGACTTTGACAGTAAATGTACACCCTGGCCTAACGAGGGAGAAAAGACGTAGACAAACGTCATATTTAGTTTTATTTTACCACAAAGTGTTTTTGTACGACTACAGTTGAACCACTGAAGTCAGATGGAATGTTTTTGGTTTCTTTCTGAACTTTGAATGTCTCTGGACTATTGCCGTCTATTGCAGATGATGAAAGGTTTCAGAATTAATCTAAAATATCTTAATTTGCATTCCAAAAATGAACAAATATCTCGGGGATTGGAATGAAGAAAGAGAGAGGATCATTTTCATTTGATGTGAACTAATTTTTTTAAAGGGAGACACACCAGATCAGTGGTTTCCAAATCTAAAATGACTAAAACTACTAACTGACATATCACAGAAAATGTATCCTATCAAGTTTGGATTTGCTAAAACAAACTCACTTAAATATGAATGACGACACTGCATATAGTTATTGCTGATGAAAACACTGTGGAATTTGATTTGTCATGTTGAATGTTTGTTCATTTGAAGACAGGTGTTGAATAAGAAATGTCTGGAAACCGTCTGGAGAAGCTGGATTTTGTTTTGAATATGTGACAGCAATATGGGACTTGTTTTGAATGTTTGGTGACTGAAATCAGAGCAATATTCTTGTAAAAGATCCAGTGTATTTTGGCTAATGGTAAGCTTTAATACAATTACCTTTATTAACAATTTATTTACAAAGCATGCATGAATTAAGACATGACATATGTTGAATCACACATAATGCAGGAATGCTTGAGTATTTAAAGACATCTGACAACACTTTTGGTAAATATTTAGCTCACCTATTATGATGTACTACTCTTGTAAGTGCTGTTTATGCAAAATGATACTAATAAACTCTGGAGACTGCTAATGATTTACGCAACATCTGCCGTTTTTATACATTGAAAATGCTTTTAAAAGGTCCTCAACTTTTGAGGGGACTGAGGTAACCTTTTTAGGGCATGGAAGAAATAACCTTCCAGTTTGGATAAACGGTCTTATTACATCTCTGCTCCCAGAGGTCCAACAATATTATCACAATTGGATGATGTGTAACAGGGTCTTAAAGGATTAGTTCATCCAAAAATTACATTTCAGTTATCGATTACTCACCCTCATGGAGTTTCAAACCCTTAAGATCTTTGTTCATCCTTAAAAGACAAATTAAGATATTTTAGATGAAAGTCAAGTGCTCTCTGACTCTCCATAGACAGCAATGATCTCAAGACGTTCAAAGTCCAGAATGAAAAAAAACAGCAGTCAGAACATTGTTTTTAGTGGTTCACTTGTTTACTTTAGTACCTTAACTAAAACTGTAATCAAGCAAACATTTAACAATGTTTTATGCAGCAAAATGAATAAACTTTGTTTAGAATTTTGACTTTGTTGACCAATATCTTCTCTCCGGCAGAACAGTTGTTTTTTGGTGCACAAATGTGTGTTCGGGGGCCTTGATTAGAGTTGGACAACATGGAAGGTTTAAACAATGTTTTTGGTTCTTTGTCTGAACTTTGAATATTGTATGAAATGAGTCTGCTTTCACCCAACTTCCACTCTAAATGGTGTGTTGATGCTCATTTCCCAAAAGGGCTGAATTATGATAGAAAAGATGTCATCAGTTGTCTCTGCATTGAGGTGACTATATCTTGAGCAAATGGTAGCAATTTTAGAATGGGGATGGGGATGTGGCACAGAGAACTATCTCATCAATGGTGTTGAAACTGAGAGGTAGAGAGAACAGCTGTGTCAACAGCCAAGGAGCAACTTTATTAGCATTTAAACAGTATAAAGGTTTGAGTTTAAGAATGTTCGGGATCATTCTGACTGATGAAACCAGGGTATTAACGTGTGGTTCGAGACTGCTATGCTGAATAAACATCTTCATTGATATCTTCTGCGTTCTCCTTACAGACGTTTCTGTCCATGGAGGGTCTGAGAGCTCTTGGTTTGATAAAAAATATCTTTGTGTTCCAAAGTAGAACAAGGTCTAACAGGTCTGGAATGATTACAAAGTAATTATTATTTTTCAATCACTTCTTAATTCAGTTGGATTTTCATTGTAATTTAAACCATCGTGTGATTGAAATTATCAATAAGCCAAAAAAAATTATAAAAAAAAATTAAAAAACAAATGACAAATCACAATTTATATATATATATATATATATATATATATATATATATATATATATATATATATATATATATATATATATATATATATATATAAAAAATATATATATATATATATATATAAAAAAAAAAAAAAAAAAAATATATATATATATATATATATATATATATATATATATATATATACATACATACATACATATACATACATACACACACACATATACAGTTAAAGCAAGAATTATTAGCCCCCCTTTGAATTTTTCTTGTTTAAATTTTTTTCCAAATTATGTCTTTAGAAAGGACATTTTCATAGTATGTCTGATAGAATTTTTTCTTGTGAAGAAAGTCTTTTTTGTTTTATTTCGGCTAGAATAAAAGCAGTTTTAAATTTTTTAAACACAATTTTAAGGTCAAAATAATTAGCCCTTTAAAGCTATATTTTTTCTCGACTGTCTACAGAACAAACCATCATTATACAATAACTTGCCTAATTACTCTAACTTGCCTCGTTAACCTAAATAACTAGTTAAGCCTTAAAATGTCACTTTAAGCTGTATAGAAGTGTCTTGAAAAATATCTAGTAAAATGTAATTTACGGTCATCATTGCAAAGATAAAGTAAATCAGTTATTAAAGATCAGTTATTAAAACTATTATGTTTAGAAATGTGTTGAAAAAAATCTTCAAATCAAAACTCAAAACTGATGAATGTGGCTTGACATGTTAAATGTCAAGTGCTGTTTTGTGCAGTCATTACTATGGATATGTGCTTATATGGCCCAGTAGTCCACTGTTGTTGTTGTTTTGGTTGACAAAAATTCACATATAACCCAGCAAGCATTTTTTGTGTTTTAAAGAAGTCAAATAAATGTCTAAACAGAGGCTTTTGCTAAAACAAGGCTTTATTCATGCTATTAATGAAAAGATGTCCAAGAATAGCACAAATTTAGCCTGGTTTTAGCCAAGCTATCTGTGTTTAGGTCTCGATTAAGCAAAACTGCTTGGTTCGTCTAGACTGAAGGGTTAATAAATATGTGCACGTTGACACAGTTTTCACAAACTTACATTTTTGTAGATTTCACAAACTACACCTGAATCAGTTAAAACCCGAAAAACAGTTTTATAGAGAGGGCTGAAATGAGTGATGTTTGAAAACTGCACATAAATATGAAAATGGTCAATTTACTGACTGTGTACTTTACCAAATTAGTTTCTTTCTTCTGTTAAACACGAAAGGAAGACATTTTAAAGAGAATTAAAAACATGTAGCCACTGACTTACATAGTATTTGTTTTTTCTATAATTTAAGTCAATTATTGGAGGTTTTCTTCAAACGATCTTTCTTTGTACTTATAGAACATAGTGGTGTTTTAACACCACTTGAGGGCGAGTAATTAGAGTACATTTCATCTTTGAGTGAACTTCCCTTTTAATAAGAAATAGTCTCACAAATCTCAATTACAGTTGTATTTTTTAGCTGAAATGAACTACCTTTATGTACAGTTTTCCTTTATTTATTTTTCTCCTTTTTGATCTAAGAGTTTAATTTAAACAGCAAACAGAAATGCAATTTTGACAAAGCACCCTCCACAATGGGAATAGTTTAATCAACTGGACCTGGCAATATGGTCACAGATGGAGAAAAAAAAAACAAAACAAAAAAAAAACCTAATGCATCTCAGCTGACCACAAGTGATCAGTTTACATTTACACAAGGTGGAAACACATTTGTAAAAAGTCTGAAGATCTTTATTAGCTTATTTAACAGTTTAAGGAGGAACTAAAAGCTGTGCAATAGGGTGGTTCACCACGAAGAGTTCAGAACAGCACCATTTTAATCACCATTTGTTAAAACTTATTTCCCAAGTCACAATGGAAAAATAGCCTACAAATAAATAAACAAAAAAACAGCAAGGAATCACAAACAATGATTGCTAGGAGCCAACTTGACTTTTAATTATTTTCTTTGTATCAGAGGCATTTGACAAGTGAAGGTGTGTGAGGGCGCACAAGCACGGTCGAAGGGGATGCTGCTTTTCATGCTGACCACTTTTTTCCCCCCCCGGGAACCATTCCAGCTTCCGGAATTCCACATCACATTCCCACTGAAACATGACTCACCACACAACACAGCCATGAAATGAATTGGATCAGATCCCAGTCAAAACGAAACAAAACAAGAAATCTGGAGAAAACAACTGTAGCATTCATAAGACGTGAAAAATGTAAAAAATAAAGACTTCATTGTTCATATTTCATAAGCAAGAAATGAAGCAGGCCCTTGAAAACAAACTTTCTATAGCAGTCATTAATCAGATTCCAAATTAAACACTTTGACCTTGAATACAATACCTATGCGAGAAATAAAGCCCAATACAAGGAAGCCACACCACCAAACCAGAAGCAGAAAAAAGCAATAAGGTGAGGTTCAAATCAGTTAGCAGAGAGACAAAAAATTGCAGGCAAAAGTGAAAATCAAATTTCTCATTCATCTTTAAAGTCTAGCCATACATTATTATTTTTTTAATGATTTTTTTTTTCTGTGAGGAAATAGGCAGATGGGACATGACCCTACAAATTCTAACAAATAGCAATATGCCTCTAATTTAAATACTTTTCTAATAAGAGGTAGATCAAAAACGGTGTAAGAGAAGTGTAGAAAGAAAAACAAAACGATCACTTGTGCCCCTCTGGTCAGCGCTCGGCGCCATGCGCATACCCAGTGCGGAAGTGTTCGCGAGGGACTTGAGGTATCGCTGCGCGCGCTGGAGGTCTCGGTGAGATGGAAGGATTCCCGACACCCACCGTTTCCTCAGCTGAGGTAGACAACGGTCTTACTAGTGTGGAAGCATGGATGCACTCTTTACCACAATCAAATCATATTTACATTCTGCATGAAAACAAAAGGAATATCGGTTTCTTTTTTTACTAAACGTTTTTAACTTGCTAATGTTCATTTTATATATATTTTTTTGCTTTTTTCACTTTGAATGACAAATGAAAAGTTCTAAATTAAACCATTTGCATGTCCATTTCTATGTTACAGCTCGTTAGCCTAAAGACATGCCGTCGACTATTGTAACCTATATAGCTATCAACGCAAAAGCATCAGAACAGCGAAACTCCCCGACCCAGACATGCATTGACTGACATTAAACACTGAAAAATCTTCGGCAAGTAAAGCCCAGTTTGATGAAAAAAAAAAAAAAAAAAAAAGTCTGTCGAGAACAAACGGCGCACGTTACTTGGAGGGAAAAAAAAAAAAAAAAAAAAAGATGAGCACGGGAAAAGAAAAAACAACCTCAATCGGGCAGGCCGTTATTATTTTTAATCTATTTTAAATTTGATAGAGAAGTAGGCGCGCTGAGGATGAGGGGGGTGTCAAAGAGGTTACAGCAGGATCTTGGTCATCCCTGACCTCTATTGCATGCATCCAACCCTAACTGCAGTGTAATGAAATGCGGGTGAAGAATCGTATGCTACCGCCGAGACAGTTATTAGCATGTTAGCACGACATTGCTGCGGTATGTACGGTTGACGTTATTTCTCATTACCTTGACGGTGTTCAGAGGGTGGTGGCTCCTCAGCGACACTGAGGCGCTTTTCTTTTCTTTCTCCTATCTGTAGAAAACATAGAAGCCCAAACTCTGCTCTTTAACCGCTTCGACGTGCGCTAACTCATACAATTATTCATTGCGAGCACGCAAACGGCAAAAGTTGGGGGATTCGAACGTTAA